CAGATGAAGATTGAACCAAATTACGTAGAAAAATGTTATTTGTTTTTATTTGAGGACTTAGTCAATTATAATTGTGTGATTAAAAATTAGCTTAATTTGACATTGAAACTCACAACTAATTTAATATCTGTATTGAATTAAATCTATGAATTAGTTCCCCAAACATTAGATAAAATTTTAAGTTTCATTATCAATACTCGTTGCGCCTTACAAATAAATCATTAGTATGCTTGTTAACGATAAGATGTCCACAAAATATTAATTCATTATAATCCAATTTAAAAACTTAATCTGTGTTCGCTCTTATTATTTAATGAACCTAAGTTTTAAAGTTCATATCGAATCCTTTAAAAAAATTTATTTTCATTTAAATAATTAAATTAGAGGTGAATTTTAAAACATTACATTTAATTTTAACACAATATCGTTAAATAATAACTCAATTTTAATTAATATATATGTATATATGTGTATATGTAATCATATCGAATCACAATTGAATCCAAAATTTCTATATCCATATCTATAAAAAAATTGCCTCTTATTTTTTTTTTGGCTAACTTTTAATGGGGGCAAATCCTAAATAATTTTCAAATTTTCATATGAAGCCCAAAATAGTTTAAAATTGGAGTGGGGGCAACTACCCCCACTATCCCAACCTTAAATATGTCAGTGTTTGACTTAATTTTTTACTCAAATTTAAGTAAAAAGTTTGATTTCATACAAAATACTGCAATGGAGTGTTCAATGTAAAAAGATGACAAACTCAAATTTAAAGGTTGATAAATATGACCAATGAATTTTTGAAAGAGAGTAAAATTTGACTACTTAAAATTGGAGTATAGATTTAAGATTCCCTTGATTTGAGTAAAAAAAATTGTGTTCCTTCATTTAGTATGAATTTGAATAAAGGACTATGAGTTGTTTCTACCCTGTTTTTACTCAAATTTATGAGTTTGGCTGAAGATTGAAAATGCCCTTCACAACTAAAAAAAAATTGGTTTTTTCGGTGGCGAGTCCATTTTAGAAGAAAATCAAGTCATGATGTCCAAGCCTTATTTTATTTGGTTTTAAAGGACAAATTGGAAATCAAACATAAAAATGTCATTCTACTCTGAGGTGCTTCTTCTGTTCAGTGACACTGGACAATGGCACAAGATAGTGAGACTAGACAACCTCTGTATCTCCTATATAACGCATTAAAGAAGATGATGTGTAGAATGCACTCTCAAGCATCACCTGAACACAGCTCAGCTTAGCAGAAAAGTTGAACACTGTTGCTCACTATAGGTGACATCTACCATCTCTTTTCAGGAGGAAAATGTATGGCCAAGGTGATTTTTCTTTTAAAATGTGGTCAATTTTAGTAAATTATGCCCTTATAGGAGAACTACGATAATTTTTTTGGTCCTAGAGAAATTGTTGTAATGTATTCGAGATTTTTTGCATTAGTTGGTTGTCGTTCTCCATCCAAATTGTTTTGTGTTGGATTAAATGCTATGAAAAAACCATGTAAAATCTCTCAGAATTTGATGGCTCGAGAGGGCCTTTGTTTAATTTTTCTTTGGAATTATGGGAATGCCAGTTCGCTCAGAGTAAAAAGATTTCGTTTAAGTTCTCTTGTGTAACACACACTGTAAGATTAAGAAGGCAAATTATTGAAAACCAAAAAGAATGAAACGTTGTTTCGCTCTTTTTTTATGTGCTACCCCCTTACGTCCCCTTTGGTTGCCTTGTAGTTTTCTAGGGAATAGGGATCAAAATCCAGTAATGTTATAGGCAGGATTTGATACACAAGGAGTATGGAATGCATGGTTATCAAAATTCTGATATGGATTTTAAGATCTTGTATGATGGGTTATAAGTAAATCGATCGAGGTCTACATGGGAATGTAGGATTCCAATCTGAATTTTGGTCTTACTGATTCAAGTTGTTAGGTTTGCTTCTTAGGTGCATTTAGTAGTTGAGCAACCTAGTTCATGTTTTTCGTTTACAAAAGAGTCTTTTTATTTATTCGTCTGCAACGGTTAGATTTAATTTTCTCTCTCAACGAGTGATCATAGCCTAATAGTCTGATATCTTTATTCTGTTTTCCTTTTTTTGTTTGGATATCGTATACTTAATATTATTATTCAACAACATTTCAACTTCCCAGTATCTCTCTCTCTTTGAAACCTAAGATCAAAATACTTCAATCCTCATATTTCTCTTTGCAAAATTCTACATAATTAAAAACAATTCACGTTTGATTTTAAACCTTCTTTAGTATTCAAGTTGTAGTTTATCAAATTTCAAGCATATTTTAAGTTCTATGTTTGACCAATCCAAAAAAAAAAAATTATGTTTGTGATAGCATTTCTATTAGTATATATACTAGGTTTATCTAGTTTTATTTTTGGGAATTTTATATTCCTTCATATATTTTTTATCTCATTTTTTTAATTAATAGGATTTTATGATTCTTTATTCGATTTTATAACTTCCTCCATCGATTCAATATAATTTTTCGATTTTAAAAACGTTGATAAAATATAACCGTGACTAATGAGTGTGATTAGTTACCGGATACAAACAGAGAGACAAACTGAATCCGTTTTGGGATCACAGCAATTAAGCATACTCTTTGTTTGGATGGCAACTGATTATGACAATGAATTCATGATATTCAATGTATTGATAGCCCCACTCCCACAAGCGGGGATGGTTTGGCTCGGAAAAGACTAGGCAAAGCTCTCTGCATAATCTTTTTTCCCTCCTTTTATAATGGCAACTTGAAATACAAAACGCCACTGCCAAACGCTGCAAAGGGGCTCTCGGATCCGGAAGCCAACACTCCAAGGTCAGATTTCACTCTATCTCCATCGAGCTCTCTCTATACCTTCAAGCCCTAGATCTATGTATATATATATACATATATAGTCCTAGATCTGTCTATTTATTGTCATATTTGGTAAGACAAAGGTTGAGTAAGGTGCTTTGGTGAATGCTCCCCAGCTAGTTGTGATAATTGTGCTGCTGTGAAATGCTGAAAGGAATGGAGGTCTGGGCGGCTTCCTAGTCTATGCTAAAACAAGGTTGCTGCGATTGAAGATGCAATTTCTAGCTTTGGGAATTAAATTCTTTTGATTCTTTTATTGTTTTTGGAATTCGAATATTGTTAAAGGCAAGGTTGTTTGCGGAGGTCTGGGCAGCTTCCTGGTCTATGCTAAGACAAGATTGCTGCGATTGAAGATGCAATTTCTAGCTTTGGGAATCAAATTCTTTGATTCATTTATTGTTTTTGGAATTCGAATATTGTTAAAGGCAAGGTTGTTTGCCTTTTCTTGAATTGTAAAAAATTTTAACGAAATGAAATAAAGTGTTGATTTGGAAAAAAAAAATTGTTATATTTGATTAGATTTGTGTGTGAATGTATGTTTGAATGTGTATGTATGTGAGCGAGAGAGAGAGAGAGAGAGAGAGAGAGGTGGGATTCGGGGGGTGGTTTCAGGGTGTTGGGTGTGGGTTTCAGGGGGTTTGGGGGGTGGACTTCAGGGGTTTTGGGGGGTGGTGAGTGGTGGGTTTTGGGGGTGTTTAGTGGTTGTTGGTGGAGGTGGGTTTTCAGTGGGGTTGGGTGGTTATTGTTGGTGGATTTAAGTGGTGTTGGGTGGTGGGTTTTGAGTAAAATATCAAACATACTTTTTATTTTTGTTTTCATAATTTTTTAAACATAAATGACTGTGAAACATGTTTTATATTTTTTATTATTTATCATAGAAAAACAAAAACTAGTTTTATTTTTTTGTAAAAAAAAACATAAAAATAAAAACGTTACCAAACGCACCCTTAAACTCTTAGCTTAAATTTGAGATTTTTTTATCTATGTTGGAGTTTTTAATTAATTACAACACACAACAAACACACAAAATAGTTAAAAAATCAAGTGGGTTGGAGTAGTTTAGTATTCAAAATCTTACTAACACAACTCCTTTCCTAATGATTTGTTATATTAGATATGAGTTTGTTTCCAAATCAATTCTAGATTCTCTATATGTTCTGAAGTTATCTAAAGTTTAATGAAGTTCAAACTCTTAAATTTATCGAGTCCAACTAAAAGATTGGGTTTTCATGGGTGAGATTGATACGTAATTGGACACATTAATTGTATCATGGGTGAGATTGATATGGGATGGGACACATTACATGTAATTAGTCTGTAATCTGTAATTGGTAAACTTTGAAATTGAGCTGATCCAAATTTGATAATATCTTATCAACAAACAAGATATATAAGCAAAAAGACCCTAAAAATAGGTGGTCAATCCAAAAATTCATAAAATTTTGGTCTCATTTTTTTAATTTATGTGTTTATGTAACTCTTCAATTTTGATTTAACTGCCTATAAACAATTATTTACAAGCTTGTCCGTAAAGAATTTAATCTCATAACAAGATCAACTAATAAAATATTAATGTAAAATCAAGTCGTACACATTCAAATCATTTTTGTTTTTGCATCAATGACTTGGTTAATAATAGATTCGATCAACAACCAAAACAAAACGATGTTTTTCTTAACTCTAATAGAAATTCAACGCAAATTTATTTTGACGCTGACATTAAGCCCGAAATGAACTTGATGTAACCTAACCCAGTTATTTAACTCGAATTTGATTCTAAATGGTATAACTCGAGCTCAAAAGTTAAATACGGCATTTACGTGGTAATAAATAAATGGTTTGGATTGAACACAATTGAGGGTTTTATAACTTGAATTATCCCTGCATTGACCTAGATGCAATTGCTTCTCAGAGACATCATCCTAGCTGTGCTGTTCCCAGACTTAGACTTAGACTTAGACTTAGGAAGGTGGTGGAGAAAATGAAAACCTCTCATTACAGAGTAAGCAAGCAGGGGTAATAGCAGGAAGGATCAAACAACAGAACAAATAAGGGAGAAGAAACTACCAAAATTATCGAAGAAAACGAAAACTTGTAGCCTAAAATACTGGAATTTATTGATCAAACATTGTCACCGACAAATTCTCCTCTTTTATCCCAAGGTCGGGTTTCAAACGACTTCCCAATCATACTGCGTTTGTCATTTATAGTTCCGTCTTCAAGCTTGTACTCCGGAAAGTAATCCAGAAATGTGTTGCTTCCTAGCTCATCAATTCCATTGAAGAGGAAGTTTCTCATTACTTCCTACAATCTCATATGAGAATCAACAACTGAAACGACGAATCAGCAGAACAAAAAAGCTTAATCATTTGAGAATCATACCTGGGCAAGAGACTCCCCAATTAATCTTTTTAGAAGTCGGTGACCTGGATCCTGATTTCAGAAGTTACATCAGCCAATAAATCAAGAAAAAACATGAAAAGACCATAAAAGCAAGAACATAATTGTAAGAACAAAAGATTCTATACAAAGTTTGAATCATAATTAAAGCAGTTTGGCACCTAGAACTGATGCTAATATGAAGTTAATCAACTTTGGGTGAAGTTTGGCATAGGGGTGATTAACATATGGTTTCCAGCATATGCTTCAGCGCAAAGTACTTGGAAGTTGATGCCTAGTCATTTACACAGGTGAAGTTGTTTAATTTCTTACTCACCTACGAGATGGACAATTCTTAGCAAAAGCGTCCAGCTGAATTTCAGATGCAACCATAATCATATTATGCTAATTAATTGACCATAGCATCCTGGGGTATTCTGTCAGCCCCTGCTATAAAATGGGGTCGAAACATCAAAAAAAATAATAAATTAAGCTGGAAAACTGTTTTTTTTTTTTTTATCTACTGATTAAAAAGGGAATATAACAAGTCCACAAGCAAACATTCTCTTTAGCCCCAACCACCAATTATAATGGCTACATAAATTGGATGTGCTGGATGTAATAAACTCTGGGAAAGAACAGAAATTACCCACCTTTTCTGCTCTCCACGTCAGGTACCTATGCTGCGCTTCACGATTGTGAATAACTCGACAAGCATCAGACTCTTCTGCTGCTCGGCCCATTAACTCAAGCCAGGCCTATGTTCATAAACAACTCAAGAATTTCAAAATTTTCAGTCACAACATACTCTTCTGAAATAGGACCTGACATATATATGAATAAATAGAATGTAAATATGTAACAAACAGATTGCTCATGGGTTGGCTGTTATGGACATCCTCCCGAAATAGGATCTGACATATATATAAATAAACAGCATGTAAATAAGTAACAACCAGATTGCTCATGGGTTGGCTGTTACGGACATCCAGCAAGCTGACACGCTAAGGGTACCGAGGCTCATTTTGTTAGTCTCAGCTAGTTGTTCAGGGTTTATCTTTGCTTTCTATTTTGGTTTTGTGGAAGGGGGAGGGGGGTGTTTAGGCACTCAGTGGGACCACAATATGTGTGCGGGTAAAGCAAACCTAGATTGCCGGAAAAATATTTAGAAGCAGCCTGCATTTAGACCTTGTAGTAATCCTTGAATGCAGAATATAGAACACCATGATTCTGCTGGCTTGAAGGGAACTTGGTCCACATAACTATTGGTGAAAAAAATCTCAAAGACTCGCTGGTAAGCTTTCCTCCCCAGGGCAAAAGCTGCATGAAATCTGTTTTAAGTCAGCATACCACAATTATAGACAGGGTTAAGAATCTAAAGATACAAGAATCAAATTTTTCTGGCAGCTAAAAAAGGGCATCGCCGTGCACTAGGCTCCCACCATTGACATTTAATGTATGGCAGCAATAAGCATTATGCTTACCTCAGCATACTGAAGCCCAAGAGGCATTAAGTTCTTATAGTACTTCTCCTTGTAATCCCTTTGGTCAATGACATCATGCAAAGGGTTAAGATCCCTGTAAATAATCAAACAAGGTCAAATTCCAATCAAGTGTCCTATACTATCAGGAAAAAAAAAAAGCAATCCGGTGCACTAGTCTCCCACCATTGAGGTTTTGGGAGGATCAGATGTATGTACATCTCCTTATCCTCACATCTAAAAAAGGCTATTTACGTGACTCAAATAACCTATTTCACAATGAAGTAACCACACTATAGTGCCAAGGCCCACCCTCGTTATCCAGCAAACAAAATGATTCTAAATTAGAAGAAGACTAATAAGGATATCTGGACATAAGATGCTAGTGCCCCTACTTCACAAAATAAGATCAACTGGTTTCTTTATCATTCTAATCAGCCATCCAACTAGTCAGAATATATTGTTCATCAAGTACACGAAACTCACTGCAGCATTTACTGAAGAAAAGAAATTCACATGAACTGTTTCTGAATATATATTTAGTCTTCATGGTTACAACTGAACATTCACGATCATTGGCTTTGCATCTCAGAACTTGAAAATTTACATTTCATCTATATGCGTGTTCAATATAGATATTATAGGAAGCAATGTGCAACCGTGGATAACAATGCCATCTCAATGCCCTAAGTATCCAAAGCCACCATTTTACAAGCAGATTGCCATTGGAATAGACTTCAACCTTGAGAGTGGACAAGAATACCTGTCCTAACTTACATAGTATTCGGGAAACATGAATCAAATAGAATAAGAATACGAAAACACAAACACACACCAGTTTTCCATAAGGGAAAAAGCAAAACATCCCCCTTTTCTATTTTTCCTTTTCTTTTCTTTTTTTCGATAAGTTTAATTGCTTGCCCGTTCTCCAATGTTCCCAACTTGCACGCCTCTGTTTGATGAAATTGTTTTGGGGCATTTATTCTTTTTCTTTTTTTTTCTTTTTTTTGGAGAGGGGGGGGGTGTGTGTGAAGATTGTAGGGGATCTATGGGGTCGGCAAATTTTTTCACCCTCATTTTTGCAAGCTTCTAGAGGCAAACAAAGATATGTTTGCGCTCAGGAATGCACATGCATGTTTTCAAGCTCAGCATGCTAATATAGGAAGGTCAGCTGCCCCCATGGTTCATTATTTCAGGCCACTGTACTACATAAGAATGCCACTAGTAGGCTGGAGAATGATATTATAGCAAAAAATGGAAGTGTGTTTCTATTGAAGTAGAAATAAACATAAATTAAGGAAATGGATGAAGAACCCGAACGGCTGAACTACGATGCTGAAATGTTTTAAATTGGAAGTCAGAAAAAAACAGGCACATAGCAAAAGATTGGTGCCTTAAATAAATCTCATGGGAGCATGTTATTATATTACCCACCTAGCGTAAGGCTAGACTATTCAACACCTAAGATCCAAAAAAAGTAAAAAAAAGATAACTTACAGTACAACTATGTTGGAGCTAGCAGTGGTGAAAAAGTTAGCACAAAATATAGGCAGATCATATTCTGATTCTGGGAACACCGCAAAATCAAAAACCTGCACACAAACATTTGGAACAAAATCAACACAAAAAAAGCAAAAGCCCCTTTATACATCATATTATATCTGTGAAACAATAAAGTAAAAGGGTTATTCTGCAGTTCAGGATTTCTAAAACTGTTCTTATCCTTCATACAACTGGAATTGAGATCAGGATTGGAATCCAATGGGCTGGGACTCAACAAGGCAAAAGTAGATTATTTTTTCTTTCAATTCTCTATACCCCCTCTTTTATCACTCTTTGTTTTTGTCTTTTTTCCTCCTTCCCCGGCCAGGTACATAAGCCATAAATTTCTCAAAATATCCAGCACAAGCACATTTCCAGCACGTATTTTCAAACAAACTTCTCATTAAAATGAAAATCTCGTGAAATGTAACAAGCATAATCCTATTGCTGATCAGAAGTTCCTCTGATGCATTCTGCTTTAAGGGAAGAAAAAGGAAACTGAGAAAAAAGTCTTTCGTTTGAGAAATATATCAATGCCTTTTTTTTCAGTAACAAAGTATCCATGCCTTTCACACTAAATCTGCACTTCAGACATCAGTTTTGATATTCAAAATGAAACAATGAAATAAGGTACTCAACATTTTTCATGACAAAATCCGAATATCCCTAGAGGAATATCTTAATTTAAACCAACCCCCCCCCCCCCAAAAAAAAAAAAAACAAAAAAAAAATGACGTAATATATGTTTGGACCATCTTGCACAGTTTTCTTTCACTTTTTTAAAACCCAGCCCGGCCCGGCAGGTTGACCCGGAAACCCGGTGAACCGGGCCCTAGACTGGGCCGGTTCATGAGTTAGATCATTCGTGTAAAAAAGCCGCCCAAAACCCTTTGAACCGGGCGGTTTCTAAACAAATCGTTCAAACCGGATGGTTTTCGTCAAACTGGCCGGGTCTTTAAAGTCGTGCAAAACCAGAATTTTGGCTTTTTGGTCATTTTTCCCCAAGCCCTAATTGCGACTCGCTATGTCATCTCCCAGCCGCCTATGGGTGTTCGACTCACTCATCTCTCTCTTTCTCTCTCTCTCTCTCTCTCTACATCTGAGAGCCATTTTGGTCTGTTGTTTGCCTCAATAATCGAAGAACGGAAGAAAGGCTTCAACGATTTTGCTTCAACACGTACTCCTTCACTTGACATGTACTTCATCACTTCTCTCTCTCTACACTCTTAGATAATGGTGATTGTAACTATTATTTTCTGATTTTTTGGTTAATCACTTTTGTGAATATTGAACTTTTTTTAGTGAATTATTTGGGAAATTATGGCTTGTTCTTTATCCATCTGTTATGAATAGTACTTTAGTGTGTTGTTCGTTTGAAGTTGAATAGATTCAACTTTCTTGATAAAAAAAAAAAATGGTTTCAACTTCAAATATTTATATTCCCTATTTCACACATCCATCTATTTGTGAATTTGTTATTCAAATATATATTTTGTATATCTCTGTCATGTTTAAGATTGTTCCACTTTTTTTATTATTTTTTTTTTTGTAACTGTTAATGAATCTTGAGCATTCGATTTGATATTAGATACATGTTTGATAATTTTAGAATTTTTGTTTGATTTAATATAGGCTAAACATGTTGTTTTAAGGATTATTATAATTTTTTAGCTTATTTATTGTGATTAATATTTATTTTTATTTTTTTATTATATAACCGATTCGACCAGTTATTCAACGGTTGAACTAATAACCCATTGACTTAGTCTCTTTGCCGGGTCAATGTCCGGGGCGGGTTTTTAAACTACGGTACTTTTTCTTCATAGATTAACACAGTCTACCAAGGACTCAGAGATGGACTGAAATTCTCAACTTTTTTCAAGAGTGTCAAACCCTGAAAACATATTATGCTGCGCGCTAAAAAGAATTTCCATGTCTCAACAGAAGATATGACAAACTAAAGTTATTGCCATGGAGGATCTTTCCAGATTTAGCAATAATTAGGATGGCAGCAGAAGGAAGGAGTTTAAGCCTGATTAAGGCTAGGTTTGTCTGGCCAAAAATTAGTGGAAGAACTGAGAATTGGGAGTTACTAAAGCCTAAAGGGCAAGGAAAAGGTAAGCCTTTGAGGCTCAAAAGGTGCAAGGAAATCTGATATTTGGGTCTGTTCTGGGTGGTATGAACATTATCAAAGAACGGCAAATAGGGTTGGTTGATGTACTTGACGGGCCAGAACTAAGTAGCAAGTAATCAAAGAAGGCAAGGAATTAGATTCTCGAATAGGATCTCAAAGTGTAGTAAAGGTATGGACAGGTTTGGTTATAGCTTCTGAAAGCTTTAAAAAAGCAAGAAATTAAGAAACAAGGACAAGAAGAAATGAAAAAGACGGAGAATCATCGGCAATCACACAATGGGTAATGGGCATTATCACACCCAAGAAGAAAGATGCATCACACATCTCAAATCATATAGGTATTAAGACATTCTTTCCTTTTATTCGAATACCAAAGCAAATACATCATTAAATATGGAAAGTTAAGGTTAGGGACAAAGAAATTGGTGGCCAAATTTGAAAGCCAGGTATGACAAAACACTTTGATGTTATTTACGATTAGTTAACTACTGGACATGACAAAGAATTACATAAATAAGCCCACAACTAAAAGTCCACCCAGGCACCCTCAAGAACAAATACCAAATTACCATTGATAATGGAACATAAACTTACGTAGAACTAAACTAGTTGATATAAACTAAAGAGAACATTAAAGTGGCCACAAAATCACTATATCACAAGACTTGACCCAGAATTACATAAATAATAAAGTATAAAATATGACTCAAAAGGCCCATCAAGAGAACAAATACCAAATTACCATTGATAATGGAACATAAACTTACGTAGAACTAAACTAGTTGATATAAACTAAAGAGAACATTAAAGTGGCCACAAAATCACTATATCACAAGACTTGACCCAGAATTACATAAATAATAAAGTATAAAATATGACTCAAAAGGCCCATCAAGAGAACAAATACCAAATTACCATTGATAATGGAACATAAACTTACGTAGAACTAAACTAGTTGATATAAACTAAAGAGAACATTAAAGTGGCCACAAAATCACTATATCACAAGGCTAGACCCAGAATTACATAAATAAAGTATAAAATATGACTCAAAAGACCCATCAAGGCACCTGCAAGGACAAAACACCGCAGACAAAACACCAAAATAACGGTTGAATACCAGAACACAAACTTGCAAAAAAACTCAACTAGTAGCATATAAAGCTAAAGAAAGTATAAAATATGACTCAAAAGTCCAAACTTAATTACGAGAGGACCTGAGAGGACCCCATCTCAAAATAGAACCAACTGTCCAGATTCCAGAATTTGCTTTCTGAAAATTTGCTCTCTTGACCTCTCTATGGGCTGCATCATATCCTCCACAATAAATCATGAATATACCTTTTCGTAACAAGGAATCGGTCCAACCACATGTACATCTATATTATGAAATGAAGGAAAAATTTTCATACAAGCTTAATATTGGAGTTTGTATGGATTTTATTTATCAATTCAGCAGGCAACCAAAACTAATCTTTCTTTGTAATTTTTTTCATATGCTTGCTTAGTCTTTCAGTATCCTTCAGAAAGCGTCGCATTAATTATTAGAATAAAATCAAGAGAAATAAATAGTACCCATACAAAATCCATGCTTTAAGCGTTCTCAAAATCTCAGTAAATGTTCCAAAATAACCTTATGCAACACTAGCAGGACAACATGGAGTAGCACCATAAAATTCTATAGTCAAAGTACCTCAATAAACAATACCTGCATTCCTTCACTCCCTTCAATATGCAAACTGCGGAAGAGTCTAATCTTTGGAGCTTTGTATGAGAGCAGTTTAAGCTCAGTTTTTCCATCCATGGCTGTCAAGGGACTGAATTTCTCCTAACAGCAAAAAGTTAGAGTCAATGATTGCAGAGTGGAAAGATAACTTAAAATAGCAGCAAATTGTTTTTTCTTTTTTTTTGGTCAGACACTATTATTGGGGAGGAGGAGGATGAAGTTAGAACCCGTCACCTTAAGGTACAACCTGCAGGTGCGGTGGTCATTTGACCAACTGCTAACTTCAAAATAGCAGCAAATTGTGAATGACAATGTAATCTTACCAAAGCATATCCACTTTCAGCATTTTTTATTTATTTATATGTCTTGGAGAGTTTTTATGTATGTGTATAAAAGAATGGCCAGATGAGAGTGGTCCATTGAAGCTTGGCAAACATATTTTGCTGCCTTTCCAATGACAAAGTAAGGCAATTTGGTATGATCTTGCCATTAACAGAATTTGTGTTAAATAGTACAGTTAATAGGTCTATTGGAAATAGGATTTCCATTGGCACAGCGGCGAAATTCCTATCAGGCTGTTGACCTTATCGATGTGTCAAATCAGATCGCACTAGTGTCATCAGAAGAAGTTTTTTTCTTTTCATAGATATGGTAAATATCGCATTCTTTTTTTCTTTTCATTGGTCTGGTACATATCACACTCTAAAAAGAAAGAAGATCGGCCCTTGTATAATATAGCACATATTTAGTGAAAATACTTATGAAGTTGAATCCCCAAACAGTCTAGGCATATGACCCAACTCCAATGCTGGTGATATTCAAAGTTTTAATGGTGATCTAAACTCCAAAACCAATCCTGTTGTGGGTAAAACAACAAATCAACAACATCTCTACAAACAAAGAAAATATCAAAAGAGTAATTTGGTACAGGAAATCAAGACTAGAGTTAATACCTACGACCGATTTTGTGTAAAATGGGTCGGAAAGCCTAATTATGAGAATTTGCGGATAATTTAAGAGTATTTTACCAAGCGGCAAAAATGGAAACATGCATAGCAGTGAGTTCTTTCAATCAGGCAGAGAATGATGCAGACTATGAACATGGGTATAGTCTAATAAATACACTATTTTTTTAGGGGTTTATTTCTTATTTTGGTTAAAACGTAATTTTTCCATTTCAAGCTTCGGTCCCTATCTGGTCTACTTGAAATGGGGTGTTTTCTGTTTTTTTTTTGTGTGACCAATATTATATTCTTGGTCATGTAGAGGGAATTATGTAGCTTTTTTAGGCGTTTACTAGCAAAATTTGTGATGGCTTCTGGGGAAACCTTAAGGTTGGTATAAAAAGTGGGAAAAACGTGATGTGTGGTGTATTGTCCCTCATGATTATACATGTGAAATGCTAGACACAACCTAGAGGGCGGGGTGGATAGGTTTATCGAAATTTTAAGATCGAACAACCACCAATGTTAAACTTAATCTACCACAATTACCAATTGACTGAACAATTAAGATCCCGAACCCCTTTTCTTAACCCAAAAACCCCGTAATATGAATTGATGTGATGATAGCAATTAATCGATTAACACTCAAATCATCACGATCACGATTCCAAATCCAAAGCCCATATTCTCAAAAACCTAATTGATGAATAAATAAAATAAAACAATTAAAATGGCAATTCAACAAATATTGTGTATAAAATTGCAAGTGTGTGTGCATGTATGAAATTAAAGCAATAAACAAGAACATCCATAACACATGTAATTTGTTGATGCAGAAACCCTTTTCGGGAAAAACCGCGGAAAACCACTCGGGGTTCGCCAAGAGCCTAATCCACTATTTCAAGGCTTCACACCCAAGACTCTCGGAATGCACAATGAAAGTGGGTTTTGTCTCTCACCAAGCAAGATCTTCTTCTTTAATATGTGAAGTTGAATAGGAAGTATCAAGATGATTTAGGCATTTGATCTTAGGGATTTATGATTTATTGAAGTTTTCTAGGAATGTTTAGGTTTTTTTTAACTCATAGAGGCTTATCCTAGCCTAGGTGAAAACTATATCTCAATGTATACAGACCCCGAAATTAGAGTTAACTGTAGCCCAAAAAAACTCAAAGTCTCATTTTCATGACCAACCACTCAAGTCGTGAGAGCAAGGTCAGAGAATGGTGGTTTCTGGACTGAAAAATATGTCATTCTAAACCTCCAGGTGGCAGACCGCTTGAATGGTTAGAGAGCCGCCTAGAGAGTCATCTCCATTGATTCTCCAAATTAGTCTCCCAAAGTTTCTAGAGACTGTTCTAGCTAAAAGCGAGTGAGCCAATGGTGGTCCTTACTAATTTTTAAGCTAGAAACCAAGCAAAAACTACACCTATTGAGCACTAAAGAGTATTGCTCAAATGGGGTCTGATAAATGACTTAAATTATATTTTAAAAATACATTTAAGGTTTAGAAAAAAAAATTCAATAATAAACTCTAGGAGTTATTTACAGATTTTCCAAATTCCATTTTGTTAACCCTAATCCTAAATCTAAAATTAAACCAAGGGATCTAGGTCTCTTATGTCATTACCTTTTTTTTAAGTTTGAAGGTACATCGTTGTGATCTTGATATAGCATTGTAGCTTGATCTCTTTCGCTTCTTTGACGTTTATGAATCTTAATCTTTAAAACTTGAGATTACATAAGATTTCACGAAATTAGTCAACTACAAATATGATCCTAACAAAAAGAAAGTCATTAGCTTCTATAGTTTATAAAGAGTTTGGAAGAAGAATTCTTGGTAGAAAGCTACAACAAAGTTGTCAAAACGTGTATCGGAATGTTTATGATTTTTCAAAAATAATGTATCATATATCGTAACATAAGCTCAATTTTAAAAAAATTGTATACACATAGACATCTAAAAGTAAGTAAATATGTAGTGTCTGAAGTAATATAAATATTATTTCAAATCACTCATCATTTTGTGTGATATGTGTGTCCAATAGAGATAAAGAGATATAATTGTTTGTCTTTACAACAGAGATCGAAATATAGTTATGGTTTGATCTCTTTGAATAAGAAGAGAAAAAAAAAGATGCTGGAAAAACAATATACGATCTCATGACAAGAAGATGATCGCGAGCTTCTTTTGTTTGAGATCAAACCAAAAAAGAAAGCATAATACCATGAGCTGCAGCTCCAAGCCAACTAGCTGAGAATCGACGCCGCAATACCAACCAATCCCTTTGACACCTCTATTCATGTGAGAAACTAACAAAAGCCATTGCCATACCTACTTTTAGGTCTAAACAAGGCCACTATTAAGCATTTCTTTATACTTGATCTTGGTGACTATATATGGGTGCTATCAGTGAAGTTAGTAAACAATAAAATTTGCACGATTTGCTTCAATTCATGCACCACTTTGCATCAAAATGTAATTACAAAGCCTAATGAAGACTACTCCAAAAAGCTAGGCAAATCAATTTTTCAGTTTTGGCTTATCTATGACCATGTCTTCCGTTATATTATAGACCATCATGTATTTTTCAAGGCTTCAATTGAAATTCCTTTATGCTTGATCTATTAAACCTTACTTTTTTTCTTATATTGTTTTGGGGAGAGGGGGAGAGGGGGAGAGGAAGAGAGACTTGAATCCTGACTATAAAAATGCAATGCAAAGGAGTACCATTGAATCAAATGTCCATTGGTAACCTGAAGTAAACCTTTCCTTCTCACATTGGCCTAATTTCTTGCAAATATCACCCAAACAATCATCAAAACCCCATTGAACATCTTCAAAGCAACCCATTTTACTGAACAACCCTATCATTAGCCTTAAGTAATAGGGAACATTATATCAAGAAACCTGAAATTCTTGAAAACTCCTGAACTACTGCCAGAATTCATGACCAAAATTGTACTCGCACTAAAGTCAATCTACATGTGAATTATTTATTTCAATTAGGAGTTAATTATCAAGAAATGCATTAAACCTATAATATCTGCTAGGTCTTTACGCCTCAATCGTTACCAGTAAAGGCTAGTGTTTCACACTGTTGCTTACAGTTTAACCTATAGTGCCACATGAAAAGTTGCGAGCACTTCAAGAAAATGCTAAATGTTATCTCATTCAAGAATTGGTATAACAAATTGAGAAAACCGCCCAAAATAAACTAATCCAAAGAGAAGATGTTCCAAAATTATCAAGAGCAACAAGTGCTTGATCGTTTGTGTATTTTTGTTTCCGCAATTAATTGCAAAAGCTTTGAAATATTCACGTTCAATTATAATTTTCAAAGGCCACTAGCAGAAGCTGAACAATATAACCACATCAAAATTGCAAGAAGTTCAAAACCATTCATTCAAATACTTCCAAAGAAATGGAGACAAACGATCAATATATTAACTGATCCAAAGAGAACCCATAATTAAAGTGATCCCAGAAAAGACAATCTCAAATTCTCTGGGCCCATGCAATCCACGCACACACACACATAACCACAACAACAAATATAAGAGAGAGAACCAAGTGGGTAAGTACCTGCAAGGGAGAATGAACCAGCTGGGTATGGCGTTTGGTTTCTTCCAGAGCAAAGTGAATGAATTTCTGGTAAGAAAAAGCAGAGGATTCCATTACAGGCCGCATATTTCTTCTACTGTTCCCACTATTATGCGTAACAATAGTACTAGTACCCATTAATGGAGGCTTTACAGGAGAGAAAAAACTCAAGGTAGAAGAAAACTCCATTGAGGAACAAGAACAGTTTCAAAGGAATTTCTTTCTGCAAGTGGGAACAGTTTCAAAAAATAAGTTCATTCAAGTCAAGTCCCACTCGCTTTTACTTGAGCTCTCTTTCGGTGAGTGTTGTTTCTTCTTGACTTTATTTGCCCCACGTCATATAATCGACCTGCTATGGTGTATACGTCAATAATGACGTCATTAAATAGAAATTGGTCGAAAATAAAAACCAACATTTTGCACAAGAATTTTAAAATTTAATTTACTGATTTAATCTTTCATTATTCGATTGATAGTGGAACACAACATCCTTTGAGACGTGTTATTAATCTAACAGTTGTAATGCATTATATTAGAAAATTATATCTAAATAGTATTACTTTTTGAAGGAATACTTGATTTTTTTTTAATGAATCATACTTTATGACTAAACAAAATTCAAGAATAATTGCCTTTCTTTTCTCTTATTTTTAAGGGAAAATAGGGGGACCGATACACAATATTATAATTATTAAGGAAAAAATACACATTTAAAAATATTTGTAAAAAAATCCACTCACAATTGCTAAAGTCCAAAAAAACTTTTCTTTAATTTGAAAAATTTTCTACCTATCTAACGAAACGAGCAGAAAGAATGAGAAGAGACAGCAACTGCTTGCATGTCTCCACAATTGGCATCGGAGATTCCACGGTTTGAGGATAAAATTTTGAAATTCAAACTAGGGCTATGCAAAAAACCCACAAACCCGACCCACCCAATCCGTGACCAACCCTTCCGAATGAAAATGGACGACTAAAAATGCTTCTAGTTCGGGCGGTGGAAGTTATAAATCATTACCTGATTGAATTGGTTCGGATGACGGGGAGGTCCAATTCATAACCCAAAAATTCCCGAACCATCCAAACAGTATTATTAATGATATAAAAAAATAAAAATATAAACCCCCCAATTCCCAAACCCTACCTCATCTTCTTCTTCAGAACACTTAGCCGCAGCCTCTCCTCACTCCTCAGCCTCTTCTCTCTCTCCCAAATGCTGACCCTTTTATTTTTTTGACTCTTCCTCTTCTTCCTCTACTCTTCATTTCTTCAACCTTAACCGATCTTCGAGTACACGACTATGCAAGATATGTTTAAGTGGATTTTTGGATCTTCAAAGCAAGCCTAAGGATCTCAAACCTAATCGATCTTCGAGTACATGATCAGGCAATATATCATCGAGTGAATTTTTGGATCTTCAAAGCAAGCCTAATGATCTCAAACCTAATCGATCTTCGAGTACATGATCAGGCAAGATATCATCGAGTGGATTTTGGGATCTTCAAAGCAAGCCTAAGGATCTCAAACTCAAGTTCGACTGGTTTGAAAAAATGTCTCTGATCTTTAAAAGGATCTCAAACTCAAGTTTAACTGGTTTGAAAAAATGCCTCTGATCTTTATCATGAATTCCTATTTTTTTTTAGGTTTTTGTCTTGTAAGATTGTATGTAAATAGGGAAGTTCAACATTGAAATGAAGTTGTTGAAATCTTACTAGCAAAAAAAAAATTGTTGAAATCTGGTTGATAGTATTAACCAAAATCGATCGACGATTTTTTGATTCAATTGTGTATTTTAATTAGGCGATTCAGTTGATAGAAATTACTTCTGAGCTTTTTCGGTTCGGCCAACAAAAGTCTTCACTTTCGACCCTATATAGGTTGAACGCCCTTAATTCAAACGATACGCAAATATCTACCCCAAACACCATTCTCAGGTGTAAAAAAATCTATTATTATTGAGGGTTTCACTGTAACGAACACACACTGTTGGGATTTATTGAAAACGAGAGGTTTGGTCACTGTGACATCAATGTTACACTACTTGTAAAATACAAATGCAAGGTTGGGTTACTGTGGACATTATAATGTGACATCAATGTTCACTGTATACACACAATATATGCTAGTTTTGACACATAAAAGCACCATAGTGTGACCCAGGGATTGTCACATTGTGGGCATCATAAATGTGGCATTAATGTCATGCTGCATATAGACACTATATACAGGGTTTGCACATGAATGATATCACACTGTGACTTTAATGTAACACTTTATATACACGTCACATAAAGATTAAAAAACACATAATGAGTATCACAGTGTAAATTTAATGTCACAATACAATTAAATATCATATGCATTATTCATCGTATGAGCATCAAAAGTGTGATTCCAATGTCATACTGTAAAATAAACATCATATGTAGTATTTTGTATAGGATGGGGTATCACACAATGTGACCTAAATGCAATACTCCATAAACAAAAAGGGAAATTAAAGGGGAGAGAGACTGGGAAGAGGAGAGTAACGATGGGAGAGGTAACCAGTTTGAGAGAGAAAAATAGAAGAAGAGAGAGATAAAATAGGGAGATATATATATATATATATATATATATATATATAGGTAAGAGTCTGATATAGAGAGAGAATTTTTTTTTTTAAACTAATGGAATCATTTTCCAAAATGCAAACGGTTAATTATCCTTTAATTTAGGAAATCACTTCCCGCGTGCTTAATTTATCTTCTACAAATAAAGAAAAAGGGTTTTTCTATTTTTGTAAAAAATGACTTATGCACAGAAAATTTATATTAAGGTACTTCTTCATAAATAAGTAATGTATATAATACTTTTTCACAATTTTTCCTATTTTTAATGAGTAATACTAGATGAATTTAAAAATTAGACTTGATAATCTCAACCAGCGAATAGGTAGTGGATTTCAATAAATACTGGGACCTACAGTGAAATCAATGATTATAATTATCAAGTATAATTTTTAAGAATATTTTTTAAATCTATATAGTATTGCTCATTTTTAATCATTTTTTTGCTAACCAAACTAAGCCCAAAGGAAAGACAATTATTCTTTTTCTGAATTTTGTAGGATAGATAGGAATAATGAAGGAAATGAGGAAACAAACGTAGAAAAGAAAATACCACAAATGTCCTTATATAGGAAATTAATATTTTTACAAGTTGACCCATTTATTATAGAATTTAAAAAAAATAAAATTGGGATAATATTCTGAGGTGAAACTCTAGACTCGGGGACCTTTAAATTATTTTTTTGCCTATATATAAGTATTATATGACAAGTTTATAATTAAAAATTATTATTTATTTAAAAAATTACATAAAATATATTTAATATTTTAAAATTTAAAATAATATAATTAAAATATTCGAGATCAAAAACGATATAAATTTTACCTCAGTGCAATTAACGTTGAAAGTAATTTTGCGCAAGTCCCCCCCCCCCCTCTCTCTCTAGTTCGTTCTCGCTCTCTCCATTGACACGGAGCTACTGAGGAATGGCTTATTCGGCTTTCTCGAGGCTAGTTAACCTCCAAAGACACTTCAATCCCGTTGACTCAAGGAAGAAGGTAGTAACTATTTGTGTAGAACTTTTACCTGCTAATCTTTTCTGAATTTATATTTGTTATGCGTCTGTTGCTTTGGCAGAAAAAATTATTCCAAGAAGAAAAATTTTCTATGGTAGAAACAGAAAAAAAAAAAAAATCTTGGTTTAATGGGAAATTTTTTTGCATAGATACTCTTTTTTATCAGTTTCCAAGGATAAATTTTTCAGCGAAAACAAAGAATTTGTTCTTAGATGTAGATAAAAACAGAAAATTTTTGCTGGGATTATTGGTTTGACTGGTTGGAACCCTCCTTTAAGGTAATGTAATTGTTCCTTATAGTCACATGAATACACAGCAGCTTATTTAGTTGTTTCTATTTAGAAACTAATAGTAGATGTATTGAATTGTTTAACAAGTGAATGAATCTTAGAGTAGCAAGAAAGAAACATGCTTTCTATTTTTTGATTCACATAAAAAATAGTTGGGAATTTTGATGTAATTTGGGCATTATATTGCTATTTCTTGATAATTCTTTCAGTATATATGGCATAAAAATTTAATAAAGGGTTATTGGTACTTGTGTTGAGAGGGATGGACTGAATACAGAGCTAATATTTGTCATTGTTTGTACAGAATGAGGACTCTCATATCTGAAACCATTTTTATGAATGCTGTAAATTTTGAATTTGAAAGATGATATATTTTTTCTACAGGGTGGTGATGATAATGTTGGTGTAGGGATGATAAAGATATCCCCGGAAGTTTCTGAAGCTTTATCGTGCGGCAGAGGAGTTGTCGCACTTGAGTCCACCATAATTGCTCATGGTATGTTGATTGGACAATTGGTATTCCTTAAATTTATTGGTGGTTGAATATTCTATTTTTGTTTCCCTTAAAAAACTTTTCTTGTTAAATATTGTAAGGTAGGAAGACTATTATCGACATTAACCAAAGAAGGGTCGCTTAAATTGGATTTTCCTGAATTGTAAAATTTGATGAGTTTTGCACTTGTAATTTTCTCCGATATAAAGTTCTATTACTCTCGGTTGATGTACTTCTTTCTCTTGCAGTGATGGACCCTAAGGTTTTGGAAAAACCTGCATTGCACAATCCATCGTAACGAATAGAGTTTTAGACAATCCAAATTTCCCATCAAATATTTTGCATATGGTACAAATTTTGAGGATTAACTTCAGCGAGCATGACTTTGGCTGAGCTGAGCATTCCACTGTTTAATATTTGGCTAGATCAAATTTGAACCTTGCACCAACCAAACTTTGACCAAACAAGTGTTTTAAGCGTAGTTCATGTATCTTTCTTCGAGCTCATTGAATTTCCAATCTAGGCCATAATTTCTAACATTTGACCCAATCTATTCCTATTTCTAATGATTAATATGACACATGCCTAATTTCACACATTTGACCCAATCTCTTCATGTACCTGTTGTATGACATTCTCCTGGAGAATGAAAATAATGCACATCTAATTCTTATTTTGTTGCTGACATGTTACCTCCATGATACTGGAACTCATGCATCAGAACATAGACAGAGTTACGTATATGTATGTATGTATGTATGTATGTATATAGTTGAGTTTAGGACCTTGTTACTGGTAAAAGATTTAAGAGCTGAAATCATGGCTAAACGAGACGAGAAAAGCCATATTGCACAAGTAATGAGAACAGTTGAGATGCCATGCGAATGTTTTCTGATCTTCATGTGGACAACTACACATTCTTTATTGACGTGAGCAAAACTTGAAATGATTAGCTTAGCTGTATGAAATTTTTTCATCATTTGCACTATGCCTTTTGCTGTTGTGTTTAGGAATGCCCTATCCTCAAAATCTGGAGACAGCTAAACAAGTGGAGGCAATTGTGAGGGAGAATGGAGCTGTGCCTGCTACTGTCGCCATTTTAGATGGCTTGCCTTGCGTAGGTGTTTATTTTGGACATTTTTCTTTTTTTCGTCAACTTCTTGCACAATTTTAACAATTTGACTGTTTGCTTTGGGTATTTCAATTTGATATCATTTTCTTATAATTAAGCATCTGTGCTGGGAAACTTATATAAGTGTCGTCAGACTGGAGGAATCTTAATATACATGAAATGGATCCTTCTATTTGCTGCGTTTGATCAACTATTATTTGATTTACAATCTTTTATTTGTAGTAAATTGTTGAATTCTCTGTGGCCATCTCACATTTGCAAATAACTGATGCTACTGGAGTGCTGATTCTGTCATCCAAAATTAAAAGATTCATGGTTTGTTGGAATTGTGAAAAGTGATGTTTGGGACAGAATAAATGATGGATTTAGGTATCAACTGCGGGCAGCTGCGTTATTTTATATATTTCTTGTATTCTTTTCATGCATTTGAATGCTGACTGACGGTTTGAAACCATGACTACAAAGTTTGCTAATAAGTCGTTTGTACTTTGAAGTACTTTAAATCACTAGGCCTCAAGCATCACAAAAAACATAGCAGTCCAGGTGGGTGCCCATAAATCTAAAAGACCTGTTAAAGTTTCTTGGAGCACGTATGCCATGCTGTGTTAATTCTCTACCGCCTTTCAGTTGTTCGCCTTTCAGTTGTTCAGATTAGAGATGTGTAGCTCTTTGGTAGTTCGGATTTTGTATATTGTTGGATGTTCAAACTTGACTAATTTTAGTTGCTTTTCTTTTGTTGGACAATGATAGGGAAGACCATGGAGAAGGAATACATAGCCTTGATTTCATAGTTGTCAAATCGCGATTCGTATCGTGAATCGGAATTTAAATTTGAGAATCAGTGAATCGTAAGATTTGACACAAAATTTGAACAAAAATAAAAAATAATACTTCATATTTAAAATAGACAAAATATTGAATATTGAACATTATTATATTCTAAAAATAATCAATTGACATAATCATGTCGTCTAAATAGAAAGACGCTAGCTCTTTTCTTTATTTTCATCATGGCTATTCAAGAACCAATATAGATTAGGTTATAAACATGAATGGAAAAAGAATAAATAAGAAAATTAATTGGGAGGAAACACACTGGCCAACATTTTGAAACAAAAAATTAGAATCTAACAAATTAGCCACGAAAGAATTGAGAGCAAAAATCGACCGATGATGCGAGAGCGTTAGCCGTGACCTTTAGCCTTAGACAACACAAAGCGAGCTTTAGACTACGTCAGAAAGAGAACGAGCAAAGAGGTTGAGTTTTTATTAGGGCGTGAGTTCTTCTGCAAACAAAACGACATTTTACTGTTTCGCTGACAAAATGACATCGTTTTGCCAAAAATTTAGATTTTAAAAAAGTGATCGAATCGTATGATACAAATCAAATTGTACAAATTAGGTGTGATTCAACTTTAAAACGATTCTTATATAAGATATGAATCATTTTGTATGTTTATCGAATCGAATCGTACAATTTTGATAACTATGCTTGATTTTGAGTAACTTCAGAATGTGAAAAATCACTTGAAAAACTGAGGAACATATGTGGACACACATGTATTTCTCCGTACTGGATCCCTTGAATACATGCTGCATCATATATGAAGTTGTACTTGATAGTTTTTGTTTTCCAGAAATAATACTAAAAATTACAGGAAGTGCACTAGTGAAAATAGAACTGTGTGATAAATTTAGCCATTTCTAATGAGCAACTTATCATATCAGACAAAAAACATTCTGGGTGGCAGTTAATGAACTATAACAAGTAAGATGTAATCTTATCAGCATAAAAGTGATTAGGGTCTACCATGATGTAATACTGCTGGTCACCAAAGGAGAGACTTGACTTACAGTAGAAAGAGCCGTCCTACTGGGCCCCCTTTGTGGGAGGGTTTCCCTTTCTTTCCTTTTTTTTTGTTTTGGGGTTTGTTTTTTGGGGGTGGGTGGGTGGGTTGTGCACTGCACGTTGGCACTTTACTGGCGTTTAATAAAGATGTGTTATCTGTTCTAATTGCTTGTATGTGCTATTCTCAGTTCAGAGCTAATGTTTCAAGACTGTTTTTACTTGTAGGTCTGAGTATGGAAGAACTTGAGAGGCTGGCTAGTCTGGGAAGCAAGGCTCAAAAGACAGCTCGCAGGGACATTGTGCATGTCGTGAGTAAAACTAGAACTAGCTCATGTAATTTTGTAGACTATCTTGGATGATTTTTGCTGTTGTTTTTTATTGAGTGCTTACATTCTAACTGTTAAAATTTAGCTCTTAGTGAAGAAACTAGAATGCCAAAAAATTATTTACAGAATTTTGTGGATGGCCTTCTTATTGAGTTGGAAAAATGTAATGATAAGTTTTCAGAAAACTGTGTTGGGTTTGGGACAAAAGAGGATGATATAGGTATATTGATGTGATAAAAGACATCTATGAGGTTGTAACTGTAGTAAGATCATCTGCATGTGAAAAAAGATGAAACACATTCTTGTTTATCTAAGAAAATTTAAGTCAATTCGTAACACTTATGGTCTCTTTATCTCAGTATTTTTATCTAGTTTGTCTATAGGCCAAAGATATATGAAAAAAAGTATAATGTAGGATCAGTTCAGGAGACTGGCTAGTTCAGGTGACTGGATTAAAGTTAGATTGTTGATTTTGAACCAATGGTTATGACTTATGAGAGTAACAAGGACAACTGAATAAAGAAAATATTTTATCCTTCAGAAATCATCTATAGAATTATTGATCTTGCTAAGCATGACTTCTGCCACAAAAGATACTGCCGGTGGCTTCCAATCTATTGAAGTCAGAAATATTTAGACCATGGAAAAAACAAATTCTTTCTGATCAATTGCTGAACATTTGGGGTCAGTTCTGGAATGCATATATTGATGTATTGAAATTGGAGAATTACAAACTTTGTCTTTAGAGCTCAATACTTGAGACGTGGTTACGTGGCTTGAGGAACATATACTCTCTTCTACATATTAAAAGTGAAATTTGCCCCAAAGTGTAGCTTTCGGGGCATACATAAATCATTCTTATGTGTGCCCCCTCCACCCCCTGTTGTTTCGTTGAACCTCTCTAGTTCGTGAAGATTTTCTGCATTCTTTGAAGTTGCTTCATCTAGCATCCATTGAAGCAGGACGACTTATCAATGGATGGAGTATGTTGAAATCTAATATAACCTGGCTGTCGTAGGGAGGAGAAGAAAAGAAGAGAGCAAGATTAGGGTTTTCTCCCTCGTACAGATGAAATAAATTGATCTCCAAAATTAAAGAATACTGAATATTTACAGTTGTAATAAATCCCAACTTGGTTCATATTGCTTATTTGCTCATTTTAGGTGGCTACCAGAGGGAACGGTGCAACTACTGTATCTGCAACTATGATATTTGCTTCTATGGTGACCACTCTGTTCTTGTTAGCTTATCTCATACTTTTCTCTTTGTGCGTGATCATATTTACGAATGAAGTAAGATGGTATTTGCTAACCTCCTAAATATACAAATCTTTGAAGGTTGGTATCCCTATATTTGTTACTGGAGGTATTGGAGGAGTGCATCGACACGGAGAGAATAGTAAGATTATCAGTTTTTACTTCACTTTGCTAGAACTGCACAGGTGTTTTTGATGGCTTCCACCTTGCTTGAACAGAATGCTACACACTGACACATTGTTTTGACATGCAATCATTTGTATTATTGCTGGTCCCATAGTTAAACTGCAATATGTCTAACAGATTGCAAACTTCAACAGAAATAGAGGCATCTGATTCTTGTATTTAGGGCCATTGAAGTTCTTATTTTTCAGAATTGGGCAGTTTGATTGGCAAAACAAAATGAAACATGCTCAGCTAGCAGATGGCTGTCACTGACTGCTCCTCATTAAGATTGTACAACACCTATCTTACTGCAGAGTGTAGATAGTAAAAATGGACCATTTTCCCTGTTATGGTTTTAACCTAGGATTTGCAATTTCAGACAGGCAATATTGGTGGTCATTTTAAGTGGTAAGAGGAGTTGTGTCGTACTGGCATGGATGTAACATTCTTTTATCTTTTTATTCATTCATTTTGCTTAAAAAACATGTACGTATGCCACCAATGGAATTTTTAAGCAGAAAGGTTTGACGTCTGATGAATCTGATGCTTCTGGTTATTCATTCATTCTGCTTGAAACATATATGTATTGTAGGCCACTAATGTAATTATTAAGTAGAAAGATTTGACGTCTAGTGAATCTCAGGCTTCTGGTTGCCTGGACAGGAAAAACCTGTTTTTGAGTATTTAAAAGTTTGGTTGTGTTCCTTTCATGTTTGTTTTTGCAGCAATGGATATATCTTCTGATCTTACTGAGCTTGGAAGAACTCCTGTTGCTGTAATCTCTGCTGGTGTAAAATCAATACTAGATATTCCCAGAACGCTCGAGTATCTGGTACATATCATTTTAAATCAACATCATTACAAGTACAATACCATCACAAAATCACTGATCTCATAATTTTTGCTGCTATACAGGAAACTCAGGGTGTTTGTATTGCTGCTTATAACACTGATGAGTTCCCTGCATTTTTCACTGAAGCAAGTGGCTACAAGGTATAAATATGGACCATAGTTCACCTTAATTTGTTACTCCTTGGAGTATCTAATATCTTAGAAGTCTATATTGCTTCTGATAAACTTACATTGTTAAGAGTTCTGTCCAAAATGCTGATGGGTCTGGTTAAATTACTTTCAGTAATAGTATCTCAGCTTGATGTAAGACAAGTGTGGGAAACAAGCACTTTTAAGTTTCGATACCCAATTGATGAGTGGCCATCACTCCCGATTTTTGGAGCTATTAGGTGTAATTGAAATGATTATTCAAAATTTACCTCCTTTCAAGAGATTGCCAAATCTGTTATTTGAATGTTTACCGAATAACTTACTACAGGACAGAATGGACAGCCTTGTCCACTCTAAATATCTGCATTGCAAGAAACCAAATATTAGGATGCGTATCTGAACTTCCATTGACTTGCACAAGATTATAGATTTTACTTATCAGTCCCCAAAAGTCATACTAGATGTATACAATATGTGCCCAAAGGAGGAATGAAGAAAGGTAGAAGGAATGATGGAAAATGATGATATATAAGATTAGATTTTTTGGATGTTTGGGTCCACTTTAAAATGATAATATATTTATGGCAAAAAAGGCTCGTGTGCCAGTTTACAGCACTGGTCCTCCTGACATTTGCCTTGTTTATGACAAAATTCTAGGCACCTTGCCGAGTAGATACACCAGAAGACTGTGCTTGGCTAATTGGCAAGTGACAATCGACTCATTTTCTACTTTTTCCGTTTGTCTATTCCTTTATTGAGCTCAGTGTCTGTTCCTTCCTTGGCATTATTAATGGCAGCTGCAAACATAAAACTCAAGCTCAAAACTGGTATTTTGATAGCAGTCCCTATTCCAAAAGAGCATTCTGCTTCAGGAAGTGTAATTGAGTCTGCAATACAAAGAGCCCTTACAGAAGCTCGGTAAAAATTTATGCTTCATTTTCTATCTTATAATTTTGCCAAATTTTTCCTATTTATTTTTATTTCCGTAAACTCATTTTATTAAAATACTGGAACCTCAGCAATAAGGGCATAACAGGCAATGCTGAAACCCCATTCTTGCTTGCTAGAGTGAATGAACTAACTGGAGGAGCCTCTCTGGCTTCAAGTATCCTTTTCTGATGCTTTTAGAACATATTTGGTAAGAGAATCATTGTATATGATGGTGAAATTCTTAGCAATGATGATGTGGACTTGGCTTATCTTCACCTGAACTAGTATTCCAACCTAAAGTTTTATGGTTGCCTTCTAGTGTTCATGGTGCTTGTATGGTTGTTTAAATTTCCTTTACTATGTCTTAGACATTGCTCTCATTAAAAATAATGCGCTTGTTGGTGCTAAGATTGCTGTCTCCCTTGCTCAGATCCAATAATGCTAGTTATGCAGGTGAGTGTTTGTTTTGATGTCTTCTTGTTAATAATTCCAAAAGCATGTCGTTTATAATTGATAGATGGTGTTGGAGTTGTCTACCAGGAGAATGAAACCGTACACCTTAGGGCATCTGTGTACACCAGATATGAACATGGCTGGATTCGTGGTTTTATGTGATTGTCGACTTCCTTCTAGTGATTACTAAATTTATAGTAGATTGAAATTATTTGGTCATCCTAATTATTTGTTCTATATAGATTCCATTCATTGAATGACATGGATTGATTGGTCATGATCATCCATTTTGCCGCCACATGCATGTGCACTTGTGCAGTAACAGATATCTTTTAGGGGATTTTTGGTGCTTTCACTTGTTTCCTTTTTCATACCAAAGGAAGGGGAGAAATGAAAGTAAAAGACTTGGTTGAACTTTCGTCTGGCTGCAACCCCTGGATAACACATAAATATTCATTGTGAAGATGGTACCACGTCATCCCGAATACGTGGTAACACTACCCAACACATATGCTTGATATACCTCACATATACATTTGTTATATCATGTGACAGTAGTGACATCCTATTATATTGAAGTTTATTTGGATAACAGGATTGAGCTGGGCATATGTACTAATGGTTTTGAATAAATTTTTTTTCTGATTTTTGATTGATGGCAGGTGATCCTGTTTCAGAATGTTAGGCTGTGCCCTGCATCGTGCTGATGTGAGCTGTCAACTGTCTTGATGAAATTGTATCCAGCTGGTCGGGGTGCAACTGTTTTTAGTTCTAAGTTTCATTTTTTATTTCTGGGTAGTACAGATATATGTGGTGCTGACATTCCAAGGCTTACTTACTGGAAAATAACAATCAATGGCTCCATTAACCATCAGGGATTAAGGTAAGACCATGTTACTGGAAAAAAAATTTTTGGTATCGTATCAAATTTGCAATTCTTAGTACAATTTACTACTTTGTGGTTCATTTTAAAACAAAATGGGGGTGTTTGTGATATTTTTTTTGGTTGTAATTGGACACAAATCAATTGCAATAGTCAGTACCATATCTCTTTTGAATCGTGTTTGGCGTTGGACGCCCTCCTTTTGAATTTAAAAATTTGACTTAATTTGGTAAAATTTTTAGGTTGTCCATTAGTCGGTAAGAATCATACTCCAAATTCAACTCACATCCGAATGATGTTTTCTTCTAATGCAACAACTTGGCTAAAATGTCGAAAAAAGGTTGCATGTCGAACATATGCGAAGCACAATGGAGTACCAAGCACCCTTAACACCTACAGCTGCCCCAAGACCTGTTCTCTACAGGTGCCTCGAGGGTCACTGAACTTAATTTAAAACCAAGGCCCATGCATAACTTCCTGCAGAGAACTGACAGCCAGATCCAGACACCGTTTGCATATATTAATGAACCAACTCTCCGTAGGTGGAAAAGTTGCTCCCATAATGCATAAGAAACTCTCTAGCTGCACTGTCAAGTGTCAAATGCACCCAACTTTTTTGTTTTTTTTTAAATTCAACGGTGAAGGATATTTGAGTCAGTTTGCAAAATATACGCAATTTCAAGCACATACATTAGTAATTCTAATTCACTGAGCCAATAATTGGTTTCAATGCAATCTGATCCCTAGAGAAACCATGGACAACGATCATCATGTAAAATCCACAAAGAACCCGATTTTGCACACATGGTGTGCTCACGCACACGCCCCAACATTCAATTGACTGCGAGCTCAAACATTTGCATTCACAACCAAGAACCTTGAAGAATCATTTCGTAAAAAGAAATTGAAAAACAAATCAATATATCAAACAAAGAAGTGAGTATAAAGAGGCAACAATTCCAGGTAACGGATGCATTTTCAGATGAACAACATCCTTCACACAAAGAAACCAAAAAAGAAAAGACCCAAAATCTTGTGTGACAAATAACCAAAATCTTACCTTCTACACCTCCAAGCAGATACTGCGAAAAGGGTTCGATCTTGCCAACAAATCACCACACAGCCATTCTCTTCCTTGATCTTATACCCATCACAACTATAACCTTGCAACAATCTCTTTGCTTGCAACATACCATAATAACTCAAAGGAACATTTCCAAAGCCTGCCAAATCAAACCTTTGGATCCACTTTTCAAGCTTTTCATGTCTTTCTTTCCTGTCACCTCTCTCACATGCTATAATATTCTTAATCTCCTCTCCAAACAGCATCTTCTCTACCTTCAATCTCTCCATTGATGTTCTTGGAAGGGAAGATTCTAAGCAATCAAACAATGCAGCATAAAAGTACAAAGATTCTGATAATCTCTCCATAAGAGTTGATCCGTTATGGTTAGAATCTTGCTCTGCCACTACCATGACCTTTGGTGACAAGCCCCATAAGGCATTAAGAAGGCTATCCAGCTTCGCTGAAGTGGTTGGAGATAGTGGTGATGACGAAGCTGAGTCATGATTCGGGCTATAACCAGTAAGCAAATCTTTCTCAAGTAACTCTCCTAAAGTGCTTGGGCTCATTTGAAGAACTTTTTGCAAGTGAACTCCATTTAGATTTTTTGGTGTCAAAGGGGACTTTTTCCGAATGATTTCATCATCAGAGGCCAAAAGGCAATGCAACTGCAGAACCGAGCTAATTGCTAGAGCCTCCCCCGTTTTCACACGCAGTTTTTCAATGTCAAGATTCTCTATTTTGCTAACTATAGGGTTGAACTGGAATGGGATATCCAACTTTTCTGCCTCTTCAGTCAATAAATGAGCCATTTGATCCAATACCTCTTTATGCTCATGAACTCCAGTAATTCTCAAATGGGGTGGGCCTTCAGGCCGTGCACTTAAGTCTTGAAGAAGCGCACGCCACTGCATAGGCTCCTCAGCATTAAGATCAATAATATGAACCATCTTTTCCCCTTCCATGGATTCAACTATAGCTTGGTTTGCCATCACAAAAGCTACTTTTAAGAATGGAAAGAACTCGAAAAACATCTTCTTTACAAGAATGTCTTCCGAGACCAGTGATATTCTGGTGGAATGGAGGGCTTTGTAAAGGCCAGGCCAAGTTTTGAGGATCCTATCAGCTAGTGCCGCCGCAAAATATGATGCGATACGCTGCATGGTATCACCATTAGGAGAGGCAATTTGGGAGATTTGGTCAAGGGCAATATTTGCATTGTCAAGGCTACCAGTGGCTACATGATTTGCACAGGTGAGCAATAGATGGATCAAATATAGACCACGTTCCTCGGACTTCAGCTCTTTGAGCCATGGATATGGTGACCCAAAACCAGGTGACAGTGACATCATGGGATAGAATTGGAGAGGGGATGAGGTTACAGATGATGATCCATCATCTTGAAACATTGGTGTCCAAAACAGTTTTGAGATTTGGTAAACAAAGATCAAATGAGAATTCTCAAATAAGTGGCAGAATAAGACTGATTTTGGATAAGTATTCAAATGTGATTTTTGGAAAAGTACATCAAACCCTCAATCAAGAACCAAATTAGAATGAAATCACAATATGGTTGAATCTCTTCAGAACTTTTACAGAACCAACAGATAATATAGCAAATCCAGAGACTTCTCTTGCTAAACAGGGCTTAGATATAACCAGTGATTCAGATTACACTGGCCAAGAAGCAACGAACAGGTCGAATAAAGACAAGATTTTGGAATCAAAATCGGAGAAAACTATCAGAAATGAAATCTCCAACAAAGTTCAAGTGGGTTGTAAAAAATTCTCAATAATTCAGATGCTATTCATAAACAATTAGCAAAGCAGAAACAGTGGAAACACAGAACAGTACCAGAAAAGGATAGCAAAATAACTCTGATAAACTTACCAACGACACCAAGAACCACCAATTGTTTTCTGGGTTTTCGATTTCACAAGAAACTCAAACAAAGCCCCACAAAATTCCTCAATATCTTCCTTGATGTCCCTGTTCACAGCTGTTCAGGGCTTTCTGGTTTTTCTCTAGAATTTCTTGTGGAGAGAGAAACAAAGGGTTAAAGAGCAATTGGTTCAATCAAAGCTAGTCAGTTTTGGGGGACAACTTCAAAGGCTCCGTTGCCGATGATGCGTGAAGGTTCGTTTTTGTCGTTAATCTTTTGGTTGTTCTCTGCCTTTTAGAGAGAAAATGGAATTTGTGAGAAGAAGAGCCCCTGCACTTTGCCTCTCTGAAACACCTGTCTTTCTCTCTCTAAAAATACTTAAAACATTCTCTCTCGAAAATGGTAACTCAAAGGTAACTCAACTTAAGATAGGAGCTAACTGTAATCGTAGATGATTTAAGTTTAATACAAATTGATTACAAACCTCTGAACAAACCATAATTGGGTCTTGGGTGTGGATTTGACTACTTGTCCATTATACGACTCCTAATTTAATCGATACATATGTGTTGAGAGAACAGTACGTCTGACACTTCTCCAAATAAAAATTACCTCTCGAAAGGGATTAGTATGAACTCTCTTTAATTCCGGTTAACCTTTTCTTATCTCTCTAGAATGGAACAACTTTTTTGGGTGTTGTTTTGTCATGACATAAGGATGATAGGGAATCAGGGGTGGCCAAAAGACTTCAATATTCCCTTTTCCCCACTTGAATCCAAACATGCCCTAACAAAAACAAAATGCCATCAGTTTTGTTTCCTAGTGGGGTAAGTGTGGGAAATTGAAAGAAAGCTGCCAAATGCTTCCAAAACCTTGGTTTTGTTTTATTCCCAACGCCAAAGACCCTCAAATTGGTATTATCTCCCCCATATATATATATATATATATATATAGAGAGAGAGAGAGAGAGAGAGAGAGAAGGTTGTTCAGAAACCATCCAAAAATAGACACCATATTTATGTCTGGAAATCTTTTGCAAACCCTAATGAGCTCAATTTTCATTCTAGAAAAATCACTAAAATTTTTGAGGTTATTTATGATCCATCTTAAAAAAATTAAGATCGATCCCAAATAATCCATATAAGTTATAAATAATTCACAAAAATTATAACTTGAACTATTAAAATTGTAATTTTTTTTATTGAAAACAAATCTAAAACCTAATATCTCACCCACAAAATTAATAAAATTTGGCAGTACAGTACCAAAATTTTTTGTTCATTGATCATTATTTTTTCACTTCTGTTATTATTTGGAATAATATTGTAGACACCATATTTCTTACACCATATAATGTGATACAATCAGAGTCATTGAATATTTAATAAATTTAATGAGACGTATTAATCTAACGGTCTATGTTAAAAGTAATACACAAAAGTGGTGTAGCAATGTGGTATGTGTAGTATTATTGTATTATTTTTTAGTGGTAACTTATCATACCTTCAGACGCTGACATGTAAAGGCTCGTGATCTATCCTAAAATAATATCATAGATCCTATAGACCCACCACCGATCACAATCAGATGAAACCCCCCAAAATCGATCTCAAGGTTATAACTTGGTAGAGCATCTCTAATGGAGACTTAAATCTTTTGATTTAAAAAAATAAAATAAAAAATTTGATTTGGTATAAACCTCGTCAATGGAGAAACTCAAATTTAAAAGAGAGTAAATATGACTATTGAATCTTTGAGGAAAGGTATAATCTAACCATTGATGAAAATGGTAAGTGTTTGAGTCTCCTTTAATTTTGGTTTAAAAAAAGAATTTCTCTTCATTGGTATGAATATGAGTCTAGCATTAGAGTAAATTTTGAAAAGTTTTTGTACCATTTTTTGAAATAGGGAACCAAAAAAAGATAAGGGTTGAAGATGGTCTTAAGGTTCCTATCTTTTAAGGAAAGTTACCACCATTTTATGAGAAGTCACAACCATTTAAGGCAAGTTACAACCTCTCGATAATATTAGTATATTCTGAGGTAAAGTTACCACAATTTTAGAAAATGTTACAATATTTTGAGGCATAGTTATAATCTCTTAAAATTATTGTCACGCCCTAGTTTTCACAATGCCTCAAAATATTGTACGCTCTAGTTTTCACAATCAATTATAAATTAACTATCATCCATCAAACTGTGAGAGCGTACTAAATAACTTCAATTTAAAACAACTAATCACCATTCATCATTTAATAAACCATCATTTAATAAACCAACATTTGAGAAGAAACATAAATAAATCCTTAAGGTTACAATCAAAACCTCAAATATTTGATGATGCACAAAATGATTTTGCACACCACCTGTCAAGTATGAATAATAATGCAAGAAAATAATATCAAGAGATGCAGAGACACAAACAATTTATAGTGGTTCGATCAGCTCGATGTACGTCCACTCTTTAATGGCTCTGGTTGTCGGGTATTTTCTTAACTCAAAGGTGTGGAGAGCAAAGAGTACAAGGTTTGAGGGAGAGGAGAGAGTCGTGATCAGGTAAAGTATGATTTGCCCCCCAAGTGTTGGTGGGGCTTACAATTTATAGTCGCCCTCCTAATAGATTTGGACAAGATATTAGTAAGTAGTTGACTAGTTTGTTAGATCTGACGAGCTCTTCTCAACGTGCTAGGCAGTTGCAGTGCTCTCCATGAGATTCGGTCAAAGGATGAGGTGGGGTGTTGTCCATCTCCAGGACAGCGAGGATAGGGCTTTGGATGATCTTGCTTGTTCCCTTAACTCCTTGAGCTGCTGAGCTTGACCGGGCTGACCACACTAATGAGCTTGACCGGGTAGAGCTGATGAACTTGACCGAATTGGCCACACTGGACTGGATTTACTGGATCTCTTGGAGTCGGACTATAAACTTGAACTAAACTTATAACATGAGTTGGGCCTTTGGATTTGGGCCATCAATATTCAACAAGCTCTTAAATATATACTAAAAAACCTTACATAACCATTATCACAAATAAACTATTAAACAATCATAAATAATGTACCCATCAACAAACTTATAAACTAAGACCAGTAGAACACATTAAATATCAAGTTCTAGATTCACTTCATGATCCCCTTCTACTTCTCAAATTATCTGCTTACCTATGTCCGTATTATCATCAACAGCAAAATCTAAAAAATGTTACATGAAAGGGTAAACAATAAAGTCAAGTAGAAAAATCTTGTAAAACCCAAACAAATTTTAAAAATCATGAAAAACCTTTTCTCCCCCTCCCCCCCAACCCCAACCCCAACCCCCAAAGTAGAACTACCTTTTTTGTGTGTTTGTCCTGGCCTAAGGTGGATAGGGAATAAGGGCTGGCCAAAGACTTCAATATTCCATAGCTTCTTGAATCCAAACATATCCAACAAAGCCAAACACATGCCCTCAGTTTTGTTTCCTAGTAAAGTAGGAGTGGGAATTGCAAGGAAATTGTGAAATGCTTTCAAACCTTGGTTTTGTTTTTCTTTCCGAGGCCAAAGACCTTTCAAACTTTTGTATTATCTTCCCCTATTAAGACAAAGGGACAAGGTGGTTAAGAAACCACCCAAAAATGGACACCACATTATGAGCTCAATCTGTTGGTAAAGGAGAATTTTTATGTAATCCTCACAAATTACGAGTATCGATCAAACTTAAGTTCATGTACTCAAGAAACTCAAATGTAAATGTACGAAATTACACTTTATCTCTTATTCAACTACTGAACCAAACGTGCAGAATAACATGCTCAATTTTCATTCTTAAAAAATTATTTGTTTGCAATAAAATTAGATAGTTGTGATCATCTAAAACTGGATTGCCATTAATTGTCCATTATTTCATAAGTTTAGACTTAGACTATGGTACCGAAAAAATAATTTTTGGTACTATTCCTTCTTTTTTTACCAATCACAATAAGAAACATGGAAGGGTTTATTATATTATTATTTTTTAATTATCTCTATGGTCAATGATTATAAATTGCTCAAGCTAAGATCCATGGTTTAGATTCATTTTTTAATATGATATTCAAAAAATTAACTTTCAGTTCCTTGAACTTATATTACTCATATACATGAAACATTTGTCTTTCTCTCTCTCTATACTATATTTTTATCCATTAATATAATTAGTAAACTCGACCAATTTCTCTATGCAGAGTAGAACAAACTTTTTTTGTGGGTGTTTGTCATGGCGTAAGGTGGATGGAACTTAACCCCAAGGATAGTTCAAGTGCTAACAGGGATAATCTGTAAATTACAATCTCTTGGGTTCAGACCATAAGAAATTTATCTCTTATGAATACACTAATTCCAGCGTTGATGACATGTTTTTAACTAGACCAGAGAGAGAATTAATTGAGATGCATGTAAGTTGACTCAAATAACTCTAATCGTTCAAAAAAAAAAAAAGGGGATAGGGCTGGCCAAAGACTTTAATATTCCCTAAACCCACTTGAATCCAAACAGGCCCACAAATGCCTTCAGTTTTGTTTTTTGTTGAAGTAAGAAATAAGTGCGGGAATTGCAAGAAAAATGTCAAATGCTTCCAAAAAAAGACCTTGAGATTGGAATTATCTTCCCCTATTAAGACAAAGAGACAAGGTAGTTAAGAAAATATCCAAAAATGGACACCATATTTATATTTACTTATGAGAGTATTAATAAATTGTTCGAAATACGTGATGACAACGCTAATTACGTAATTACTTGAAACTCATGCACATTCATTAAACCAGAGTTTCATGCAACTAATTAAATTCATACTCGAGACTTACGGGTTTGCACTTTAGCTCTTGTTTAACTACTAAACAAACGTGTAGGTTAAATAACATCAATTTTTATGCTGGAAAAAGCAACAAATTTTTTGGATCTTATATTTACACCATCAATTTTTAGCGAAATAAAATGGTGATCACACAACATTTTTATTCAAGTTTTCATTAATGAAGTGATCATGTTGTAATACCCCAGATTTTGGAAATATATATACAACTTAGTTTAGGTCAATTTGTGATATTATTTTTAAAAAAGGATGTTAGTGTAATTAATGAATGAGGAATTGTAGGGTTATCGTAGGGTTTCTTTTATTTTGTATATAGATATATGTGGGCAGTCAAAATAGGGCAAAAAAAAAAAAAAAAGAAGGAAAGGAGGATTCTGCCACTAAAGAGAGAGAGAGACAGAGAGAAGGAAGGAAGAAAGAAGAAGAGATGTGGATCTATTAAAAGATATCAATCCATCATTTATTTGAAGGGTTTTATATTAAATTATATGGTGCTAGTTTTGTCATAATCTATATATATATATATATGTATATGTGAGTGTGTGTTCATGATGAGAATTAAAGATGAATATATAAATGGGTATTAGTGTAAGTTGTTAATTTAAGTGTGTTTAGGTCTAATATTGATTTATTGTTTTTGAGGTTTTAAAGAATTTGTTTAATGTCTTACAAAGTAAAAAGAAAACAAAGAGGAAAGCTGATTCCAGGTTCAGCCGCCGGAAGAAGCAGACCAAATCTAAAAAAATTATAGAAAGCTCCCTGTTAGTTTTAAAGAATTTTATTTTGACCCTTTTATTCTTCTAAACTTAATTTTTAAGTACCTTTTTACTTGGTAAGTTGCAAGAACAGAAATCTGAAAAATTTATGGCAAGCCCGAAAACAGAAAATTCATTTTTCAATAAAATTATACTTTAGCCCCAAAAGTTTTAAAAATTATGATTTGATCCTAAAACTTTAGAAACCTTTTTCTAAATAGTCTACAATACTTCCATACCCTATTACCTCATATTATACAGGATATTTATATGTACAAGATATATTAAGTATATATCAAGGGGTGAGAGGTATAAAAACTAAATATAGAATCGCGAAACGACGAAGTTAAGAATAGGGATTGATTGTGATATGTTATTTTGAATTAGGTGGTAATTGCATTGAGGTTGAGAAATAGTTATTTGAATTAGATTTTGGAAATCAAGATGAGTAGTTTACTACTTCTTTTGAGAGAATTTTCTATATTAAATGTGTAGATGCGTGCGTGTGAATTTTTCATATATATGATATATGTGTTGATGTTTGAGGTTGCAATTAAATGTTTTGAAATTATGAACTGTTATACATGTGAATTGTGAAAAACTTGTGGGATGATGTTATATCATTGCTTTGGTGATGAAAGAGAAATCTTGTGTGTGTTGGAATTAAAACTATAGTTTTGGTGTGTGTGTAAGAATCATGTTTATGAGATAGGGACTGAGGTTACCAAGTCTAAGTGGTAACAAGCGATTGAATCAGTCATTAGGCTAGTGATAACAAGAGACTGGACCAGTTACCAAGCTAGTGGTAACAAGAGACGGGGCCAGTCATCGGGCTAGTGATGACAAGAGACTGAGTTGGTTACCAGGCGGGTAACAAGAGACTGAGCCAGTTACTAGGCTAGTGGTAACAAACATGATTTAACAAATGCGTTTGAAATTGATTGTGTGTGAGTGTTTTGAGTTATAAATGTCTTTTTATTTATAAAGTTATTTATGATCATGAAATCATTTTGTTTAATTGATTATGTGAGAGGGTTGAGGTACAATTTATTGTACTTATGTATGTATCAAGTTTATTTTTGGTATATAAACTGTGAGAGTTATTTTCACACCTTATTAAAGGTGGTTGCTACTCATGGGCTTTTGTGCTCACTCAAATATTCAACATTTTTCAGGTGAGGATGAGGAGGAGAAGTAAGTCCTCAGATAGACAAGAGATTAGAAGAATTGAAGATTTATTTTATCGTAGATTTTCAGGAATAAAAGACTTTCATAGTTTTGAGACAAATATTCAATTGTTTTGTGAACAATATTGTTTATCCTTAGAGGAGTGAACTTTATAGTTTGATTATTATTTTACATGGATTTAATAATAATGTTGGTGATGTTAGTTTATTTTTCTAGTATTCATTAGGTCGGTAGAATGGATCATTTTATTATTTGTCTTTCGCTGTATTTTGTATTTATTATGCACAGGGATAGTTGGTTAAGGTCTAGGTGGCTGATCCGCCGCCCACCCTATGTGATCCGGGGTGGGAGTGTGACACATGTTATGTTATCTTATTTAGTAAATATTTAAACAGATCAACAAAATAATGACTCGAGTTATAACCATTAAGATAAATGACAATAATACCGATGAAAGTATTAGAAATGGAAATGACAACTAAAATTCTAGTGTTTCTGAATCATGGTCGTTTCTGCATAACAAAAGCACATGTTTTCCTGTCGTATAGCTGGGCTTGGTCTAGATACATTCGGCCCCTATTGGGCTGGAATTTGGCCCACTAGAAAATTAGTAATTACCCATAGGTGGCCCAACGCAACCCAACCCATGACAAAACCTAGAGAATGAGAGAGAGAGAGAGAGAGAGAGAGAGAGAGAGCTATATGGGGCTAAAACATCATATTTTCCATATTGCTCCCCTTATTCTTGTGTTTTATTAAGAAAATAAAATAATTATTCTAGAAAAAATTCTGTTGAGCATTATCCTAATGAGCACCCTCATGCATTGTAACACTCTAGCAATAGAGTAAATGGGCATTAATAAAAATTTTCCTTTCTAGTCAATTTCTTCCAATATGAAACTCTCATTTTAAGAGTTTATTTGGAAAACCCACAAAGCTACATAGGAGAATTCCCAATGTTTGTAAGTGAAATGGTTTTTGGATTTTAAGTTCTACATATATATGGTTGTAATGAATATCATGTCGGCGGGTTTGAAGTACATACGATTGCCGGTGCATTGTGTAGAAATACTGTCAACTTTTGCTTATTATTTGTACTCTTGCATTTACCATAAATCATATTCATATTGTTCTAATGAATTATTATTATGATTGTAGTGCTTAAATGAAGATACCAAAAATAACTGAGGATGAGACAGATGTTTTGATAGACACATTGATAGATTACAAAAATAAATGGAAGTTACCTCCTTTTGGGAGGTACGACACAAAATTGATAAACGGGATGTTGGCCACGTTGAATCGACGAATGACAAAGTTCAATTTGTCCTTCACCTAGCTCATTAGGATAATATTTTTTTGGGAAAGACAATATCATACGATAAGTAAGATGGTTGACGATCGTTTATTTGAATGAGACCCTATAACAAAATGTGTGGTACACAACTCAATCATACATCAGGCAAATAGATTCTTGGAAGTAAGTTATATGTTTTCCAACTATGTACGTACTTGTTTTAACTACGCGCATGTTCATTACATATCAAATTAACACATGTTTTAATTTGACACATGTAGGAAGATGAGTTCGCTGCGCTGTACTACCTTGCACCATGCGAAAATTATCAATATTTTGACATTATATTCAAACGAGATGAAGCTAGTTCAAGGAATCAAGAATTGGACAGTGTTGGGTCCTCCCCGTCAGTTAATTCTCCAAGCCAAGTCGATGTTATAGTCATCGATAATTGATTGGGTCCACGATGGTTATGTGTAAGGTTCGCAGTTAATATGTAACCAATGTGTAGTTGTTTGTGTATTAGACTTGGTAATTCCCACAAGCCATTTTGGCAATTACGCGACTTCGCTTTTGGTTGTGTATGATGTACTAAATATGTGTGTAAATGTCTTTAACTTACCATTTCAAATATGTTGTCATTATTTTGTTTGTATAGGTTAAGACAACTATTTAAATGGACATTGACTGTACAGTGTATAATTTTAATGTTCATGTTCATTTGCCTTGTGCATTAATTTGCCATATATTCATCATTTATTTTACTTTTTTTTTATATTTTTGGTGCTTCAAATAATTTTGTGATCGTATTCTGAAAATGTTTTCAATTTGGAATGTGTAAAAAGTTTGAATCGTACAGTACATAAGTTTTCCTACCATTTTACTTAAATAGTAAAGTGGTAACCAATAATTCCCAATCCAAACATGACAAAAGATTGGATAGGATTCAAAGGTAAAATTGTCAATTGCTATCAAACTTATGAGATGTTTTAAAAATAAGTTATAGTTTATCCGTGGGCCCACCACATCATAAATTACTTACTAAATCTGGGATAGGATTAAGTAAGTTGTTTTTATCCCACTACTAATCCCAGTTATTGGAATTTCATTGAATTGGTTAGGACTTTAAATCCAATCCAGTGCACTCCAACCGTGATTTGCCAAACATGCCCTATATGTATTCTGCCTTGAAAATATTTCCAGCTTAAAAGTATTCTTGTTCACCATCTAAAGATCATTTAAATATCGGTCGTATCAAATTCTCCCCCATTTTAAGGTGAAGGTTTCAGATATCCTGAGGCTATTTTGGTCATTTCACAGGGTGTGTCGAAATCCTTAATTCCAAATTCTACTGCCTATTTGGAGCTCACAACTAATTCTAGCATGGCTCTTCGGAAAAATAGTTATCTTGTAATCGATATGGTTACGCGAAGTTTGTAAATGATTATACTCAAATCTCAAATTTGTCTTATAATTACGCGTCTAAAATATGTGTGATTTCAAAATATTTTCGATTACCAAATAATTAATAGCAAGGTCACTGAGGCAAGTATTGCCATGATGGCATTAGTTTCATCACTCTTACGAAGAATTCAATAAAAGGAACATGGGTTAATAAGATGAAACCATTTCACTAAATACTTTATAATATATATACGTGTGTGTGTGTACAATCATGTGGGTACTCATAAAATAACTGAAGACTAGGATGTAGCACCTCTCCTGCTATCCCCATTTCATACCACTGGTGGAACTGTAAAACCTGAAACCAACAGATGAAAACATCAGCAATTGTATGTAACAAGTCTTCGTCCCAACAATGCATTTTTTGCAGTCATACATGAAACTCATATCTCAGATGAATTTAATCTTTAGCATATCGTATACATCATTTAAACTCGAGTTTTATGCAATGAAATAACTCGAACTCAAGAAGTGCGAGAAACAAGCACATCAACACATTTGTTATAAGAATGTGGGTATGTATGGTACCGCAAAATATTTGTTTGTATCACTTCAAGAATTGATTATCAATGGTAAATCTTGAGTTAGTTGCAGCCATCGGTTATAAAAATAATAAATTTTTTTACGTGATATTTCCTGAGTTCTGGTATTGGAAGTCTAACCAAAACAAAAAGCTATGCCAGTAAATTAAGTCAATTTTTTATGTCTGAAACTTTGTGTGTGTGTGTGAGAGAGAGAGAAGGGCGTACTTCCACATTTCATCCCACTGGTAAGAGTTAAGCCACAAGTTTTTGCAACATAGAGCACCTTCTCAATGCTGACAAACTTCGTAATGGCCGGTGTAACATGTGAGCAGACGCAAGTAAAGTTTGCAGACTTGACCACACCGCAGCATGCCGCCGATGGAGGTATCTTCGGGACGAGCTTTATGACGTATCTCTTGCAGTTCGATATAAGGCGTTGAATGTCAACCGAGCAGTCTAGTGCCGAGACCCCCATGTCTTCGGAGATTAAAATTCCGGCCACCATCAACATGGCCAAGGCTGAAACTCTAAAGCTAAGAATTGCCATTATCCTTTTCTCTATCTTTTTTCTCCCTCTCTCTATGTTTGTTGGGTTTTTCTTAGACTTTGGTGGTGCATAGGTCCACTATATATATAGTTGGAAAGAAGCCTCCATAGATATGAAAAGTACTTGTGGGTTTCACCCTAATTTTAATGCTAATTATAGAGGGATTTAATTTCGAGATATAATGTACTATTGTCTACCAAATTCATAGTCAACTACATTTAATGTTGAGATCTATTGTTAATTTAATAGTCACAATGAATTAGAACTTCACATTGTATATTTATTGCATACCCACATGGCCAAAAAGCTTATCGGGTATACAATCTTCATACCCACCCGATTTTTTTCAGTCAAGATGTGGTTTTTGATGCATTCATGTTTCCTTTGTGAAACCCACCATACAATATCAACCACACCACCCAACCCTTTACCCTTACGGCCTTACCCGTTATCGAACATGCAACCACCAACTTGGCCTTTCCTCAACCCACGGTGACCAACGACCAGCCTCCCATCGCGGACAACACCACCTCCACTGGTGTTCTTGATATTATTACCGCACCACCACCCGCTAGCCGATCTGAAAGGTCTCACCAATCCTCTGTTGGGCTCTGTGACTACAATTGCTCCATTGCCATGTTCGATTTCCCATCCATGCCATATCTGTCGGGTTCCAGGTGAACGTCACACATTTTCCTTTCTCTAATATTCTTTCTTATCATCGTTTGTTATCTCCACATCGTGCATTTGTTGCAAAAATTTCTAATACTTCCGAACCTAGTTCTTTTAATCAAGCTATGCAGAATTCTAATTGGCGCAATGCAATGGATGTTAAAATTGTGTCCTTTGAAAGAAATAACACTTGGAGGCTTACTTCAATACCTCGGCACATCAAACCCATTGGTTGCAAATGGGTTTACAAAATCAAACATCAATCTGCTAGCAATATTGAGCGTTATAAGGCTCATCTTGTGGCTAAGGGTTATTCTTAAATTGTAATTATCATAACTTTTTCACCCCAGTTGCAAAACTTATCACAATGCGATGTCTTCTTGTTGTTGCTTCTGTTTGGCATTGATCACCATCAGCTAGATGTACATAACACATTTTTTCATGGGGATCTCGATAAGGAGGTCTACATGACCAAACCACCCAGATATCCTCGACAAGGGGAGAACCTTGTTTGTCGCCTACAAAAGTCATTGTATGGCCTTTAGCAGACATCTCGTAATTGGTTTTCTATGTTCTCTACTGTTGTGCAAGCTGTTGGATATAAACAGTCCAAAGTTGATTATTCTTTGTTTACTCATTCTCATGGATCTTCTTTTACGACAATCCTTGTCTATGTCGATGAAATCATTGTCACTGGTAATCATCCAGTTGATACTGTTGCTCAAAAAGAATTTTTACATCACCAATTCCACATCAAAGATCTTGGCCCTCTTAAGTTTTCTTGGGCATTGAGGTTGCTCGCTCATCAGAAGATATTAGTATCTCTCAACGAAAGTACACACTTGAAATACTAGATGACATGGGTCTTCTCAGTGCTCATCCTGGTGCTCGTTCCACTCCTTTTCCCATGGAACAAAATCTCAAATTAAGTCTTGATACTGATACTAGAGAAATTCTTAATGATCCAACTCTATACCGATGCCTTATTAGTCGTCTGATTTACCTTACGATCACACGACATGATATTATTTATTCCGTTCATTTTCTTAGTCAGCTCATGTAATAGCCACCACACAAAACTCTTTTGTCGTTGCTATGCATGTTCTTTGTTATCTCAAGGGTTCTCCAGGTCAAGGACTTCAAAGTTTTTTGTGATTCTGATTGGGCCAGTTGTCTATGACTAGACAATCTACTACAGGCTATTGCACTTTGTTGGGTAATTCTCCTATTTCATGGAAAATAAAGAAGCAACACACAGTGTCTCGTTCTTCAGCTAAAACAAAATACGATGCTCTTGCCACTGCCAATCATGAACTTATATGGGATTGGGGAGTTCCACATTCACATCCTGCAACATTGTTTTGTGACAACAAAGTGGCTCTCCATCGCTGCTAATCCCATTTTTCACGACCGAACCAAACATATAGAGCTTGATCGTCATTTTGTTCAAGACTAAATCCAATTCGATCTTTCTTGTACTCATTATCTTCCAATAATCAACAGGTGGCTGATCTCTTCACCAAACCCCTTGGGAAATCCCAATTTCTTCAGCTACTTAATAAGTTAAGAGTTCATGACCTTCACCCTCCAACTTGAGCTGGAGTATTAGGATGTTTCTATTATTATGCCAGCGAATCGCTGCAAAATCTTTTATTAAAGGAAACCAATTATTTGATTTGTTTTGTTTAGGGTAGCCTCAAAGGCTTTGTCTAAGGCAAGACATGTGTTGCCAGTTTATGTGGTTTACAGATAAATATCTTTGTAATACAAAAATACTACGTATGATGTGCTCACCAAATTTCTCACTATTGGCTACTAAATTCATAGTCAACTACATTTCATGTAGGGATCTATTGTTAATTCAATAGCCACAATAAATTAGATCTTCACATTGCATTCCCAAATTAAATTCTAATGGTATTTCTCTTATTTTTATTCAAAAAGTACAAATTTTTAAGGTCTTGTTAACTTGCGTCAAAAGGTACACACACTGCTACTGCGTCACCTCCAATGCCACAATGCCACTTCCAATCTCAGGTATTTTTCCATCGTTTTGTCTCTTTCTTCCTTTCGTCCTCTCTGCTCCCCCAAGAACACACTCACGCATACGCATCACACACACATACAAAACAAACATGCTCCCAGAAAGAGCAATGCTATTGAAACCTAATTTACTTACTTAATTTGTTAACGTAATTCACTATAACCTTTAGATTGATTGTAAGTCCTATTAAATATGTATAATTCAAAATATTCTCGATTATCAAATAATTAATAGCAAGATGAAACCATTTCGTCACTCTTACGAAGAATTCAATACAAGGAACATGGGTTAACAAGATGAAATCATTTCACTAAATACTTTATATATATATATATATATATATATATATATATATATATATATATATATATATATATATATATATATATATATATAGTAGCATCTCTTTATTACTCTAGCAGCTGGCATCTCTCCTGCTATCCCCATTTCATGCCACTGGTGGAACTGTAAAACCTGAAACCAACACATCAAAACATCAGCAATTATACGTATGTAACAATTCGTAAAATCACTTAAACTCGAGATTTATGCGATGAAATAATTCAAACTCAAGAAGTATGAAAAACAAACGCATCAACACATTTGTTTCTAAATGAGGGTTTAGGTATTTGACCATTAAACCAACTCGTGCCTATTAAAAGTAGCAAGTTTTACTGGTAAATGGATAAAAATATGAGAATGTGTCTATGGTATACCGAAAAATATTTTTTTGTATCACATCAAGAATTGATTATCAATTGTAATTTTTGAGTTGAGTTAGTGGCAGCTATCAGTCATAGAAATAATAAAAAAAATTAAAATAATAAAAAATTTTACATGTTATTTCATGAGTTGACGAAAAAAAGAAAATACAGCTACTTGGTGATATTGGGAGTCTAACCAAAACAAAAAGGTATATATAGATACGAACTTTTATGTTAGTAAATTAGATCAATTTTTTAAGTCTTAATAATGTATCTGTGTGTGTGTGAGAGAGAGAAGGGCTAACTTCCACATTTCATCCCGCTGGTAAGAGGTAAGCCACAAGTTGTTGCAACATAGAGAACCTTCTCAATGCTGACAAACTTCTCAATGGCCGGTGTAACATGTGAGCAGACGCAAGCAAGGTTTGCAGACTTGACCACATCGCAGCATGCCGCCGGTGGAGGTATCTTCGGCCCGAGCTTTATGACGTATCGCTGGCAGTTCAATATAAGGCCTTGAATGTCATCTGAGCAGTCTTGTGCCGAGACCCCCTTGTCGCCGGAGATTAAAATTCCGGCCACCATCAACATGGCCAAGGCTGAAACTCTAAAGCTAAGAATTGACATTCTCCTTTTCTCTATATTTTTTCTCCCCCTTTCTATGTTTGTTGGGTTTTTCTTAGACTTTGGTGGTGTAGAGGTCCACTATATATATATATATATAGTTGGAATGAAGTCTCCATAGGAATGAAAAGAACTTGTGGGTTTCACACCGTAAGTTTAATGCTAATTATATATATAATTTAGGGACTTAAACTCAAGGTATAGTGTATTAATGGCTATTAAATTTATAGCCGATTACATTTAATGTTAAAATCATTATTAATTTAATAGCCACAATGAATTACGTCTTCACATTATTTCTCCAAATTAAACTCTAATGACATTACTCTTATTTTTATTCGTGTTCTTCTAGCTAGTTATTGTAGCAAGGGCAAACTTGTTCGTTTTCAATTGTGCTAGGGACACATAAACACATAAACGAGTTATTTGTATTTGACATTAATCTGATATATTTTTTATTTGAATTGACTGGTTGTGTCGTGTTAAAGTATTGTATTGAATATTTACATCCCAATGGGATTATATATGCTAGAAATTTGATTCAGAATGAACTGCTAATCACTTGTTAGCTATTCTCATAACTGACGCCACATATAATGGGGACTTATAGGCCCACCAATTGCCCATTTTGGAGTGGACAAAGCAAAGCAAAAACCACATGACAGACAGGTTACAAAGTGAAAGTGAAGGGTAACACTGCTATACTTCCGACCTACTTTTCGGTATGGTACTGAAAAGTAAGGTAGACTCGGTATGGTACTGAAAAATAAGGTGGACTGTATATGTGACACGTAACTCTTTAAAACCGGTAAAATCGGTATATTATTGAATCATACAAGTTGTTCTTGAAAAATAATACCTAACTCAAAACAGTTGTACCACATCTAATAGGCAATAGAGTTATACTTCATCTAAAAAAGTTGTATCATATCTAATAGAGTTGTACTCACATCCAAAAAAGTTATAACAATCCATTAAAGTTGTACTACATCCAATAGAATTGTACCTCCAAAAAAGTTGTACCATATCCAATAGAGTTGCATCTACATCCAAAAAAGTAGTAACCCTCCATTAAAGTTGTACTACATCCAATAAAGTTGTACCTCATCCAAAAGAGTTGAACCATATTCAATAGAGTTGTACTTACATCCAAAAAAGTTGTAACCATCCATTAAAGTTGTACCACATCTAATAGAATTGTATTACTTGAAGGTGAAGGTGAAATATAGGGAATAAAATGAAAATATTGTTATACTTCAGTGGTGTAAGTGTAATTTACTTATGGATAAATTAAGACCGATCGTTGGAATGCGTGACCGATCCTGGTGTAATATTACACTTTAATCCTTTGATATTATACTTTAATCCTTTAATATTATACTTTTAACCTTTTGATAATACACTTTTAACATTTTGATATTATAATTCATCAAATTAACATCTAAAATCATTCAATAAATATTCAATATATCAAATCAACATCAAAGTAACATACAATTTCATCCAATTAATACTCAATTCATTAAATTTACACCAAATTAACATTCAATTCTTCAAATCAACATTTAATTTTACCTAATAAACAATTAATTCATTAAATTAACATTAAAATTCAACTAATAAACATTTAATTCATCAACGTAACATTCAATCTCATCCAATTTATATTCAAATTTATTCAATTAACATTCAATTCATAAAATTAACATTGAAAATCCCCCAAAAAGATTCAATTTAACAAATTAACACCAAAGTAACACGCAATTTCATCCAATAAACATTATATAAATAAAAAATTAACATTCAATTCTTCAAATCAACATTCAATTTCATCTAATAAACATTTAATTCTTCAACTTAATATTCAATCACATCCAATTAATATTCAATTCATAAAATAAATACAAAATTAACATTCAATTCATCGAATTTATATTTAAATTCAAAAAATTAACACTCAATTTATTAAATTAGCATAAAAAATCATCCAATAAAGGTTCAATTTAACAAATCAACATCAAAGTAACATACAATTTCATTCAATAAACATTTAATTCATCAAATCAATACCAAATTAATATTCAATTCAACAAATTAACATTTAATATTCAATTCATCAAATTTATACCAAATAAACATTCAATTCATCATATTAACAACAAATTAAAATTCAATTCATCCAATTAATATTTAATTCATTAAATTAACATTCAATTCATCAAATTAAAATAAAAAATCATCTAATAAAGAATTAATTCATCAAATCAACACCAAATTAACATTTCATTTCGAATAATAAACATTCAATTCGTTAAATTAACATTTAAATTAACTATTTAACATTCAAATCATCAAATTAACACTAAATTAACATTTAATTCTTCAAATCAACACCAAATTAACATTTAATTCATCAAATTGACACAAAATTAATATTCAATTCATTAAATTTGCATTCAATTTTATCTAACAAACATTTAATTCATCAAATTAATCTATCATTCAATTTCATCCAATAAAATTTTAATTTATCAAATTAACACTAAATTAACATTCAATTCATCCAATTTATATTCAAAATCATCCAATTAACACTCAATTCATCAAGTTAACATCCAAAATCATCTAATAAAATTCAATTTATCAAACCAACACCAATGTAATATAGAAATTTATTGAATAAACATTTAATTCATCAAATTAACACCAAATTAACATTCAATTCATTAAATTAACATCAAATTAACATTCAATTCATCAAATCAATATCAAATTAACATTCAATTCATCAAACTAACACCAAATTAATATAAATTGTATGAATTGAATATATATTTGGTATTGATTTCATCAATTGAACATAAATTTGGTGTTAATTTGACGATTAAATATGTATTGGATGAATTTAATGTTAATAGTTGAATTTAAATGTTAATTTTATTAATTGAATGTTTATTAGATGAAATGTAATGTTAATTTAGCGTTGAGTTAATGAATTAAATGCTTCTTTGACTAATTTTCATTTTACTTTGGTGTTGTTTGATAAATTGAATTTTTATTGAAAGATTTTGGATGTTAATTTTGATAAATTGAGTGTTAATTGAATGAGTTGAATGTCGATTTAGTATTAATTTGATGAATTGAATATTAATTGAATGAATTAAATGTTAATTTGGTATTAATTTGATGAATTAAATATTTATTAGATGAAATTGAATGTTAGTTTGATAGTATTTTGTGTTGGGTTACACCTTTTTGGAGTTACGACGGATGTGGATGATGGATCCAATAAAAGTGGGAACTGGATTTTTTCAAAAAAATTCAACTGTTTCCTATACAAACATCTCACCCAAATTTTTTTTCAAAAAATACTTTGCATCACAAAAATATTTTTTTATTCTCAAGCAAGTTATGTGTACCAATAAAGGGATGGAGAGAAGGTAAGAAAAGTGATTTGGGCATGAAAAGAAGAAAAAGGCAGAAAAGGCAAAAAAAGGCGAGAACGGAGTAGAGAGATAAGGTTATTGTGGACGTCCAAAATAAATGAATAAATAAATAACTGGATAAATAAACATTGTTATATTTTAGGGGTGTAAGTGTAATTTATTTATAGATGAATTAAGACCGGCCGTTGGAATGAGCAACTGATCCTGGTGTAATATTACAAAATCCTTTGATATTACACTTTTATCTTTGATATTATACTTTTAACCTTTTGATATTACACTTTTAACCTTTTGATATTATAACTCATTAAATTAACATCCAAAATTATCCAATAAATATTCAATTTATCAAATCAACAGCAAAAAGTAACATGCAATTTCTTCCAATTAATACTCAATTCATCAAATTTACATCAAATTAACATTCAATTCTTCAAATCAACATTTAATTTTGCCTAATAAACATTTAATTTATTAAATTAACATTTAATTCATCAACGTAACATTTAATCTCATCCAATATATTCAAATTCATTCAATTCATGAAATTAACATCGAAAATCCTCCAAAAAAGATTCAATTTAGCAAAGTAACACCAAAGTAATACGTAATTTCATCCAATAAACGTTATATAAATAACAAATTAACATTCAATTCTTCAAATCAACATTCAATTTCATCTAATAAACATTTAATTCTTCAACTTAACATTCAATCACATCCAATTAATATTTAATTCATAAAATTAACACAAAATTAACATTCAATTAATCAAATTTATATTCAAATTTATTAAATTAACACTCAATTTATCAAATTAGCATAAAAAATCATCTAATAAAGGTTCAATTTAACAAATCAACATCAAAGTAATATACCATTTCATCTAATAAACATTTAATTCATTAAATCAATACCAAATTAATAATCAATTCATCAAAATTATACCAAATAAATATTAAATTTCATCAAATAAATATTCAATTCATCGTATTAACACCAAATTAAAATTCAATTCATCGAATTAATATTTAATTCATTAAATTAACATTCAATTCATCAAATTAAAATAAAAAATCATCTAATAAAGATTTAATTCATCAAATCAACACCAAATTAACATTTCATTTTAAATAATAAACGTTCAATTCATTAAATTAACATCTAAATTAACTATTTAACATTCAAATAGTCAAATTAACACCAAATTAACATTCAATTCTTTAAATCAATACCAAACTAACATTCAATTCATCAAATTAACACAAAATTAATGTTCAATGCATTCAATTCGCATTCAATTTTATCTAACAAACATTTAATTCGTCAAATTAACCTAGTATTCAATTCCATCCAATAGAATTTTAATTTATCAAATTAACACTAAATTAACATTCAATTCATCCAATATATATTCAAATTTATCTAATTTATACTCAATTAATCAAATTAACATCCAAAATTATCTAATAAAAATTCAATTTATCAAACCAACACCTGCGTAATATAAAAATTCATTGAATAAATAATTAATTCATTAAATCAACACCAAATTAA